ATAATATTAAGTTTACAGTAAAATATTATGTTCAAATACCCTAACTGTGCTTGTGAATATCATAAAATGTCTGAGCAAACACTATTTTAATTAGATTTCGAACCAATATTTTGTTTATATCTACTCGTTAAACTGACAAATTTTGTCAGAGAACGCTAATTTTAAAGTTTAAAACATCAAGTTTTTTCCGCACACTAATCGACTATTTTTATTGCTTGGAATGCCTTTAGGAACAGTGTTTAAAGAATTGAAGCCATTTAAAAAAATATAACGAATAAATTCTTGGTTTTTCGTTTAATTAAAGAAAAATGCTTACAAATTAAAACCAACCGAGATGTTCCTGTAAAATTATAAGTTATCTGGTAAAAAAAAAAAAAAAAAAAAAAAAAATAATTGCTCTTAAATAAAGATTTTAAAAATATTGTATTCTGCAGTGCATGTTGAAAAGCATTTCATATCTTATCACATACGCCTTTACAATCACATCAAATAGTTAAAACATATGGTTCCAATATTTTTACGAAAAATTTTAAACTACTGCTTAAAAATCTCTTTATAATTAATAATTTATTGCAGGAATTTGATGATATGAACTTTATTTTATGATACTTATATAGTAAAGTTAGCGCAGCATTGCGAACTAGAAATTTGAAAGAAAGAACAAATCCAAAAGTTGTTTTTTTGAAACATCAAAATAAAATGTAATTTTTTTCCCTATATTAATTATTTGTTCTTAACGGGACACCTGCAAGTGACGTAGTGTGGGTATCTCGTTGATTGGTTGGTCAAACGTGACATTTGTTTACGTTAGCAACTGTTCTTTCCATTCTATTTTAAGTAAGCCAAGACCTTCAAGTATTAATTCTCTTAAGTGACGCATTCTAGATTCTTTCACAAAGAATTCAATCATTTCACAAGTATTTCAATTCTTTCACTACATATTTCTTACTTAACACAAAGAAGTCATGTAGAACATAAACAAACAAATTATGAATCGAAGATGCCAGGTACACAGAACAAAACTATATCACATTTGCAATGAAATACATTAACAAATAATAAATCTGAGTCAAGTAAAAGATATATATGAGAAAGAATTAAATTTCATCAAATTCTATGTGCTATACGGTGTTGTATTTAATTACCTTCACGATACTTAACATTCTAACTTATGTGGAGAAACTTAGCTCCACTGTTTGCTTACATACGATTAGCTGGTGCTGACTTTAACTGTCACATGTGTGGGTATCCGTGATGCATGTTATCCTTACACAGTTAAGAGGAGCTATACTGCGGGAGAAACCTTATTTTTCATCGGAAATTCTATTTCACCTCCATAAGTAATTTAAAGTACAGAAAAAGTGAGTTTAGCTGAAACTTACAGTGCAAGGCATGAAGTTAAATTGCTGAAAAGAAATTTTCAAAGTTCAAAATGAAAACAAATTATGAGAGGATAACTTGGGATTACGCATTGGAAAAGTTATCTTCCAATAAGTTGCTTGCATTTTGACATTTTAAATTTTTTTTTTCGGCAATTGAAACTATTTCATAGCTTAATCTAGATTTTCCTGAACTTACTTTTCCCATACTTTAAATTTTAAATTAGTTAAGGAGGTGAAAATGAATTTCCTATGAAAAGTTTCTTTTTGCGGAATAGCACATCCTCTTAAACTGGTTATCAAATAACCGATGAAAAAAAATTCTTTCCTCCTTGTTCTTGGCGATGTTCTCTTTATTCAGCTTTTAAATTTCTATTAAAAACAAGTTAAAAGATGTTTTATACAAGGAATGTTAGCAATGTCCTCCATTTGCATGTTTAAGTGTTGTAATGAGCAAATAATAAATCCTTTTTTTTTTCAATTTATTCAAAAATTCGACTGATTGCGCAATCATGCACGAAATATTAAAGTATTTATTCTTCAAACACTTTAACAATCTACTTTTTAAGTATTAAACAAAATTTTTCTCCACGTATCTTCTAAACAAACCATTTTATATTTCGTATAAGAACTTTTATTGCATATAAAAAGTGAGGATATCACCATGATGTTTCACCTGTAAAAGAGGCGTTACTCATTTATTCCTTTCGGTTTTTCCCTGATCAGTCATTATTATTTAACAACTAAAATTACGATAGTAAAGTCTACTGATATAAAAACGTAAAGATTAGAAAAAGAAAAAAAAGCTAAATCGTTCCTTATCAACTTTTAACTTTTTATTCTATTTTTAGTTTTTGCTATTCATCTTTGTAAGTCAAAACATCATCAGTTTAAGAAATGGTTATAATCGCAACCAGTTTGTGTATGCACGAGAAATTTTTTTAGGTATGAGCCTAATGAATAACTAAAGACAGAATTCATTAAATATAACTATTGATTATTTATTGTTTTATATTTTCCCCAACTTCATTTTCTTTAATTAATATGTGGTCAGAAGTGATACCTACTGTTATAAAAATCGGCCTCGTATAAGAGTAAAGTAAACAAAAAGAAGAATCACAGTTGTAATTTTGGCTCGCACCAGAAATAGAATAATGAAGTTCTACAGAAGATTAATATTGTTATCCATTACCACGAATTCCGTTTAACATTTGTATATCAAGAAGATTGACGTAACTGGAGTACGCAGACAAAACAAAGAAAAATATTTTTTTTTCTCCAAATTTTCTTCAATTATTAAGATATTTTTCCGCTTTATCCCTCATCGGTGTTCAAAATGAAGAATACTATTATCAAAGAACAATCGTAGAGTTTCGAGGGCAAAACAAAAATTCACTCAAAATCACTGAATTGTTTATTCATTATTTTGTCTTCCGCCAAGAAAATGAATATTCTAATGTTTTTGGCACGCTTGGCATGTTTCCCTTTCTTTCTAAAAACCATCAACAAGTCACGCATAATCATATTTCGGGTGTTTTTCGGAAATCGAAGAGTTTCACCTATGTTTTGATGACCTACATTTTCTATTCATCCGAAACGATGCGAAGGATGACTAACTGCTTTTAGTGCTCATCTTCATTGTTGATGACCTTCCTTTTCGACTAATTAGGCACGAGCTCAGAAAATGTGTTTATTTATCCTATAATTTCATTAACACTTTCCACGAATTTTAAAGCAGTATCTTAACTAGATTCATGTTATTATGAATTATTGCGTTTCATATTATTACGAAAAGTACAAAAGAAAAATAGCTGCGTAATATTAATGTTTTAAAAAGAAAGATGAACTTTCAAATTTTACGCAACTTACAGTTCTACGACCATGACTTGTTACTTAAATACATTCTTAAAAGTGGAGATGCAAGCTAGAATTTGGTTTTGATTACGGAATACGAGAAAAAATTTTGAAAACTACTGAAATTTTCATTTGCAAGCTTTTTAAAATGATTAAATTTTTTTTTTTTTGCGTATATTTTTAACTGGACAACCAAACCCTTACCTAAATAACTTTTTTGCAATTATAAAGCACCTTCTAATTTTTCCGTTTTTACAGGAACTTATTTGTTTGTCCATAAATTAAATTTTAAATGCGTGTATAATAACTTTTATGTATGAATATAAGTAAAATAGCTCTGATAGTTTTACAACCTTAGATTAAAAATTTTCATTGTTTCAAGGGGTAAAATGTAATTTACGAAATATCAATGGAAGCTTTCCCATTTGAATATTACCGAGGAAATTCCACGGAAAAACTATCACCCTTTCTATTGATAAATGGCTAACTATGGAAAACATGCACACAGATTGACATCCCTAAATATGTCTGATTTTATCAACTGAACATATTTAAAATGGAAAATTATAAAGCGATTCTGATTACTTTTCAATTCGTTTTCCGGTGTTTTTTTTTTCTTCTAATTTTAAAGTTTTATTTACGAATGAAATTAGGTATATCTAGATATCAAACTCTCAAAATATTTATTTATTTATTTTAGTAAATCGGGTTATAAATTATTTTCCCGCGTATTTTACCAATTATTTAAAATTTATTTGTTTTAAAATCAATTAACCGTAATTTGTATACAAAAAATTAAATCAAGAACAGTGTTTTTCTCTACTAAAATGGTGTTAATAATCTATATTCTATAATGCTATAATTTGCATAGATTTATCAATTTAGAATAAGTCAATTTAAATTTAAAGGTAAAAAATTGTTTTTTAAAATATATACTTAAAGAACTTTAAAAAAAATCAGTTTGGTGACACGAAGTCTGCTGTTATAATGTTAATTTGCTATTATAATAATGCAAACATTACGTTCAAAGCAATCATTACATTCCATGCGAAAAATATTACGTTAGCTTTCAGATTTTATTAAATTTTTAAAAAAAAATTTGCTATATAAATTTTCTTACCCAAAATATGTTTTGGTATCTCATATTCAAGTAAAAAAGTTAATATTAGAGAAAATGCACTTTAAAAAAAAAAAATATTCTTCATAAAAATTATTTTTTCTTAAAAATATTAAATTTCAAGTCTCTTAATCTTTCTAATATATTATTTTACAGTAATAGTTTGTAAGACGCACAAAGTGTAATTTTAATATTTTTCTCCAAGATAAATTCTCTTAAACATTAACATTAGGAGAAAACCACGTATAGAAGTTTTACATATGTACATTTTTTTAGCATAGATAAGCAGAAACTATTATGTGTTGAATATGCCGAGATCTTTTCCGGAACTGATAGTGTATTAGTAGAACTATATCAATATATTTTTTAAATGTTCGCTTTCAAGTACTATAATTAATTTTTTTTAATCCAGCCAACTTCAAAAAAGAAAAAAAAACATTAAATAACTTTTGATCTATAATAATCAGATTTTAAGAGGTTATGGGGGGTTTGCCATAAAAATGTTAATTAACTAGTGCAGAAGTTAAGATATCAGGCACAAAAACGTATTTTTATGAATAAATATGAGACTTTTTGTTTTGTTTTGTTTTTAACTTGAATTCATATAAGTTATTTTTTTAAATGTTTTAACTGTTTAATTTTTGTTTCAGAAATCAACTTCAGCACAGAGTACAAAATTTTTTATTGAAATGTTGCTCTTTCAACGATGGAGATGATTTTATTGAGATAAGTCGTCATAAAAGTAAATACATGTTTTTATCTGTTATAATACCTTTTGTTTTAAGTATAGTTCCTTGTATTAGTTATTTAAATATCGGTTACAATTATTTAAATATGTATTTGTTAGAAAAAATACTATTTAACAATCACCTGACCTGATATTAAATGTGTCAAAAAAATTACAAAAACAAATGCTTTTTTTCGTTTCCTTTATCAACCATTCAAATTGACTTTTAGTACGTGAAAATCCAATCATTAGATCAAACAATATATAGGGTGTTCGTTTATACATATTTCTTTAAGTTTTCTACTTATAAATTATGTAATGATACAGAGATCACAATTTATAAATAGGTGAACTAAAAAATTTTTTTAATACTATTCAATTCTCTTAAAAGAATTGGAAAGTAAGCAACTTTTACCGGCTTATCTTTGCCTCTCATTGAGAAGTCAAAAAAAGACCATTAACTAAAATAAAAGAAATTGCAACAGGTGTTGCGAAGAAATTCTTCGCACCTGTGACATTTGTCAGTGTAACCTATCTGAAACGATTTATTTATCACTTAAGGAACATTAAAAGTAGCTGAAGCCATTTGTTAAGCAATCGACCGTAACAGCCGGAACTAGGAACATCGCTACCAGGACAAAATCTTGATGTTCGTGCTTGTCCATTTAATCCGGAATGTTCCGGCGATGGTTTTATTGAAAATAAATAAACATGTCAGGACAAGAATGGGAAACAGCACAGAACATAGTTCCACATGAAAAGCGTGTCGTTTCAATTCTAATTTCAGACGATCACACCTTTGAGGAAACAATTGTCTGCTCTGAAACAATTGGGCCGTAAATGAGAAACAAGAATATAGGCGATTTTTTTTTGTAATGTGATAAATTTATATTGATTGTTTTTCCTTTGTTACATGTTAGCATAGTTATGCTCTATTGTTATATAAGCAATTATGTTTTAATACTGACAGTTAGTCGAGGATAGAATGTTATCTATTTTGTAACTTTTCGTATTATTATTTTTTTTTTCGTGTTTCTTTTCATTAATGATCTAAATTTAATATGTAATTCAGAAAAGTTTATATACCTTTTTTATACCTTATTGCCGAAAATTATATTTCTTCGTTGAAAAAAAAATGGTGTTAAGAAAGCTTTAAAAAATATCATATTATTATTAATTTAAATTATTTTGTTAAAATAAATAATTAAAGTTCCGCCTCTGCTCTTTATCGCTTCCCATTTTTTTGTTTTTTATTTTTTTAGGGGATCTTTCAGTGAAATCTCATTGTTATTATTTTCTTCACGCTAACTGGGATAAGCTTTGCTTTACGGTATATTTTCTGAAGAACTTCGTACAAAAATACATAAAAAAATTAAGTATACAAACATTATGTACAATAAAATACGATAGTTTAAAGATTAATTTAACTATCTTTTAAAACCACCGTCATCCAATTTGGTGGATATTACTATAGTTTATTTTATATATTTATATATCAAATATATTTATATTAAATATATATATAATATATTTATATAAAGAAATAAAAAATTTCGAACGGAAACACATTTATTAGAAAAGTAATGCAGTTTTTATTGTTANTCAAATATATATCAAATATACCAAATATATCAAATATATATCAAATATACCAAATATATTAAATATATATCAAATATACCAAATATAACATACCAACGTGCATTTTTTCCAAAAAATTGTTTAATAAAATCACAGACGTGCCGTCAAATAATTTTGACTTCATGATTATTGGGAAAATAATAATACTTAATACTATCAACTCACAACTCTTTATTTACATTGAAAAGAAAATACATTTTGCAATGTCTCAGTTATACGCGTAATTCAACTTAAAGTAGCATCAGTGAGACTTATGTTATTGCAGATTAAATGACAAATAACTTATATTAGGTTGTAAAATATTAGTTTAAGCAGGACTGTTGATTTTTTTGCTAGTTATTTATTGTTAGCTTGTTTTTTATGGTTATTAATTGTTCTTTTAGCATTAATTGTTTATTTTTTTTATTAATAATTGCTTATTATTTTGTTTGTTTTTTTGAATTTTAATTTAATTGTTACATATGCTTCATAGTGTGTGACATTTGTGTAATAACAATTCAGAGTGCAATAACAATTGTGATCGGTGGCGTGCCCAAAATATTGTGTACGCGTGCCATAAATGGCACGCGTGCCATTGGTTCGCCATCCCTGCCCTAGGTTAAAAACCTGCCTCAAAAACCTAAAAGATTTCATTACTTTGTTGAAATGTTATTCTTACGTAGTGTTTAAAGTTAAATTTTAAATGCTACTTTTTTTATAATTTCATATGTGTTAAAAGTGCCTTGAAAAAACTTTTTTCTATGTAGACATACTTTAAATATTTATGTAATAAAAACATTTTCCTATGCATTCAAATATTTACGTAGTAAAAAACACTATATCTATGTAATTAAATATTTATGTAGTTAAAAACACAATAGTTGTGTATTAAAATATGGATGTAACAAAAAGGCCAATATATGCAAACAAAAGACCTTCTGGAAACTCTTTAGTAGTAAAATTGCTTTTAAAGAAGATATTCTTGCAATAATAAAAAAAAAAAACTTTAAATATTCTTATAATTTATGCCATCATTCTTTTTTATGTATAAAATATCAAAAACGGAGTAGTATGAAACTTTAAAAGCAAAATTTATGTAAGTGCAGAATCCTCAGAATCTTTTTCTATTTTAATATATTAAAATTATTATTATTTTTAAAATTCAGATAGTTAGACTAATAAATGAATCCACTTTTATAACTTTGATTTCATGCAATTGTAAGAATATAAAATTTGAGAAAAAAACTTGCAAATTATAATAAGAAAAAAAACTCTTCCAATTCAATTATCTAAAATAATAATAGTTTAATGCCGTGTCTAACTTGAAGTTCAGATGTGTTTATAACCCGAATCACGTTTCAACCAAATCCATGATGTTCCAGTACCATAAACCATAATACCATAGTTCCCAATTTTTACGAGGCTTTTAATGTTTCTATATGTGTTCAGGTGAAAACTCTTCCTCTGGGCAGTCCCCGCAAATCCTGTAGGTCCTTTTACTGTCTTTATAAATTTTCATACCACTCAATTGGCCAGTTCTCAATCGAATAATGATCTGAATAATTTCTCTGCATTAATTTCGGAAATTTAATGATTCATGTTGATATGTTTTTCTCTACATCTGAATCTGAATCTTGAAAAATAGTTATCAGGCTATATTTCTGATTTCATTGCATTGAGTCAACTTCATTTCGTGAGAAGATGAGAAAGAGAGAGAGAGAGCTGTTAATTAAAATAAAACCTGTTAAAGAAATTCAAATGCGGCTTAAAACTATAATTTTGAATTACTATATATTATCTATTTTTACTGAGTGGCCCAAAATCCAACCGACAAATTCAGAGGGGTGAAAAAAGTTATCAAGAGCATAAAAACTTACCACAGAACATAGGGTCGCAAATAACACCCGAAGGGGAAGGCGCATACTTCAGAAAAAAATATCACTATAAGTAGTCATAAAAATATTTTTGCAAGACATTTTTTTTAAAAATTCATTTTATAGTAATAATAACCCTCAAATAAACATTGAGTATAATTATTGTAATATTGAATATAACTATTATATAATTATTGATAGGGAGCTATTTTTTTGTATTATTAAGATGAATTTCATTTTAATGTGATAAGTATTATAAGTCATTATCAATGTTTCAATTCAGTAACTATTGATTGAAGAAGCGATTTTCATCGTCTTAAATAAAAATAAAATTAATGATTACAGATACCCGAATACCTCATCACAGCAGTGTTTTTGTTTCTTATCATAATTTAAAAAATTTTGTGGTGAGTGTATGATAGGGTGCATTTATAAATCTTGCGGGGTAGAGCACCAAACTGTACGTACGCCGCTGGTCTCAAACCACGTTTAAAGGTAGAAAATCAAGCTAAAAAACAAATAGTAAATATGTTACAAACTTTCTATCTGCTAAAAGATTTCTTTGATTAATTATTAAAGTATTTGTTTGAAGTGGGGCCCGTTGACATCCTTATACAGTCTTTAACAGCGAAAAAATTATTCTCGGGCGAGATCTCGAAAATGTCTTTCAAATGTACTTTTAATGCCTGTCGAAGTGACGTCAATCTGCACCATAGGAACCTCCAGTAAGTCCATAGTCGTCACATAAACTAGTCGTTTAAGGTGACTGTATGGCATTGAAAAAGTCACGCAGATGAAGGTCCGGAGATCGTGGAGGCCATGCAAATGGTTTTGCATGGCTCCCGTCCCTAATTTCAGAATTCATATGCATTTATCAAAATCCCCCCCCCCCCAAAAAAAAAAATTTGTTTGCGACTCCATGCTCTATAGTAAGTTTTCATCCTCTTCATACTTTTTATCACATCTCTGAACAAATTTTGAACCTAACTGCACTGAGAAAGAAAGTATGATCAAAATTACCAAAGTATGATAAAATGTAACGTGATTGGCTCTATAGGAACACCAAATATCCTCTTAATTTTTACCGAAGCACTTTGGTAATGATTATAGGTAAAAATTAGACTTAAATATAGTTTTATAATATGTGATGTGGTAAATGTGGTAGCATTCGAAACATTTTTCATGATACCTTAGAGCATGGCATAAAAACCATTTATTCGGTAAAATTTACTTCTCAGTTTTGTACTTTTTTTCTAAATGTGGGGTAATAAGAACTGTAATTTTGAAACCTAAAGTTTTCGGTAAACTGTTACCATATGAACTGAAAAATTACCTAATGAATGGTTTATTTACCGTTTATTTTGGTTTTATTAACCAGAACTAAGGTTTTTTACCAAAAATAAAATACAGTACGGTAATTTTATCAGAATTATTTTTCTCTTTGTGTATGTTATCACAGGCGTATACATTATCTACATTATTTTAAAGTTTTAAATACATTATAAAAATTCATGCTTTGTGATTTTGAAACTCTTTTTAAATTTTTTAAATTTTATCTATTTTTTTGACGTTTTTAAACCTGTTGTTAAGAACTCAATTCATATAACATATTTTATATCCCCTGTCCCATAAACTTAATTTTAGTGGCAGAAAACAAGGTGGTGGGTATGGAGACTTAAGATCAAAACTTTCAAATATTGAAATTTTCAAGATTTGAAAATCAAACGAACAAAATAATTTTTACTGTTTTTTCATTTTAAAATAATTGAAATTTTCTGCAGTGTTTCAAGTCTCAGGTTGAAATAATAGCAAAAAAATGAAAAGAAATTCACATTCATCATTTCATTCTTAAAAGAGATCAAATTATCGAAAAAATAAATAAATTCTCGTTTATCTTTATTTTTCATTAAATTTAAAACTTAACTTCTTATTCATTGGCAAAATTATTCAATTCACCGAGAACTTTTCTCTTTGAGGGATCAAGGTATTGTTTAAGTGAATGATAATAAAAAATTTACTGCAGTTATTGTCGATTTAAAATGTTTGTTCAAGGTTGACAACATTCTTTTTCGTCTTGATCATTAATTTTACCTTCAGTAAAACGAGGATAAAGACGCAGTAAAATAGCACCGTTAGCTGAAATTATGCTTTTCCAAGATCATTTAAAATATTTGTTGACATTAAAAACCTGTTTCATAATCTCGTTTGGATTTCAATACGTAATTCCATCATAGTTTTACATTATTTTCTTTTCCAAGGAACCAAATATTATTTTTCCAGATTTTATTAATAAAATGTTTATTTTATGAACAGATAGTTATAATAGCAATAAGACTTTATCAATAAACTCTTTGTTTATTGCTACTGTCGTTTTTTTTTCTACCACTGCAAATGCTGTTAAATATAAGACTAAATTTTAGAATGATCCAAAAATAACAAGTTACAAATTATATATATAATTTTTTGTTAATGTGAATTGAATTACTAAGAAAAAATTATTAATAATAGAAAGTCTAAAAACGTAGTTATCGAAAAACTAATTTATATGCTATAATAAGTGAAATTAAATAAACGATAACAAAGGAATTTCAAAATAATAATAATAAAGCTTTACTCTCATATTAAGTCAGTTTTATATTTTTCTTAGATAAAAAATGATGGAATAAATTTTTTAAAACTTGTATTGCTTTCATCAATCGAAGCTATTTTGATAATTTGATTTGAATAAATTCCTCGGGGTGATCTTTAAACTGTTCAAGTTTTCTCAAAACGAAATGAAGTATCTTATTTAGTAAGTTTTAAATTGTAATACCAACCTTTTCGATCGTGTGATATTACAATTTAAAGCTTACTAAATATGAAACTGAGTTTTCCTTGAGCTGAACTTTACTGAGTTTTGGGGAAAATAGAATATGTATTTTTTATTGAAGTTGAACCTGAACTGGATTGAACAATCATTAAAGGAACCTAAATGATGTGTGATTGATATCCTCAACAAAATTAGCACATTAAAAAGTGATCGCAGAGAGCGTGCAATACACATTGACCCAATTTTCATTTTTCTTGCTCTAAAACTGTCTTTTAACCTACTGCCTTGAGCTTTAGGGAGGTAAATCCAGGTGGGAAAATATTCATTGATGAGTAAAATTGTAAAGATTTATCGAGAATTAAAACATTAAAGATCTTACAGGAATCCTTAATATTTTACCAGCAATGTATTTATAGGAATGGTGTGACTGAATTAAAGTTTTATTTTTCATTGGATTGCGATGCAGATTTCAGAATTAATCTAAAATAGAACTGTGGTAATGCCCAAAACTCAGTAGGGATTAACTAAATTTTTTCTTAAGCCTCTCCTATATTATTCTTAATATCTGAAAGCTTAAAATTAAAATTTTCTGAAAGAAAGTTCCTGAATTGGTTTTAAAATACTATATCTTACACTTACAAGCAATTGATTTTTGAAAATTTAATTATTTCCTATAAAGAGTAATATTGAAACATCATACACTGCTGAAAAACAAAATTCGAAAATTCTTATCAGAAAATGGGGTACTTATCGGTTATAGGGATCATGAAGCCAAGTTGAAACAAATTTGTTTCTTTGTGTGAGCGAACTGGTACTGGTTTACCAGATACTGGTTTACACATAGGTGTATCAGACGCGACAATATCGCGATCATTAATGATAGCAATACACAACTAATACAAAAATGTCGTAATCATTAATGATAACACTATATAACTAATACAAGGATATTGCGATCGTTACTAATTACTATGATTATCGAATACGATAATATCGCGAATATTATACACAACAATAAATATTCAATACGATATTACTTTGAGTGTTGATAAATTTTATTTGGAGTATGAAAATATTGATGCATTTAAAAAATTAATTTTAAAAAATTACGATATAAAGGTAAATAACGATATTTTCTGACAATGCATAGCTATGTTTAAATTTGGCACTTATCATAATAGGGTCCAACGTTCGTGGTCCCTAAACCGTAAGTACCGAAAATGATTCTTAAAAGGCGAAATAAAGAAGGAAATTCCAAACCGTATGGTTTAAAAAAAAATCATTTTTTTAGCATTTTTTTTTAACCGAACTGCAGTATCATATTCAATAACAGCAAAACGTTTTATGATTTAATAAAACACTTAGAAAATGGCTGTAATCAGGAAATATGACATATATTTATTTAGAGAATATAACTTTGAAACTATACTCGTACTTCAGCTTGAGAAGTCTTGCTAAAACTACCATTTTTATAATGCCCAAATCGTTTTCTAGCTGATTTGATCACTATCTATTATTAGCATTTTAAAACGAACTAATAACTATAAATATTTGAAAGCTTAAGCTGTTGACTCTTTTTCTATTCTTTGTCAAAAACAAGTTAAAAGTATAGTAAAATTCACGAAATTTCAACTTACCAAGGACAAGAGAAGAAAGGAAGCTATTTCATAAGTTCAATATACAAATAAACTTCTGTTACTTAATGGGCGTTTATTGTGAGAATCGAAGGTAATTTTTCAGAGAATTCTAACTTAAACAATTTAATGAAATAAACTTTTTTTTTTATGAACTCTTCGGATTATAATCACAGCGTGTAATTCTAGCTTTTTAAAATTCGTTTGATACACTAATTTATCAATATTTTCTCAATTTTTACTTGAGTTTTGTCAAAATATATGACAAATTTAGGAAGCAATTTACACTTTTCAGACGGAATGGGGAAAACACAATATTTTAAGCAAACGATTCCATTCTTGGTGCACTTATAGAATCGTTTTCTAAATTTCAATTTTTTGTTTTGATTAAAATACGTATAACGTATCAAGGAAATTAATATTTGGATTATAAGTTATTTGCTTGTCAAAATATGAGTGTTAAGTAAAATTAAAACGAAGCTATAACATATCTCCTTGAAAAAATATGAATATAAACTTTGTTCTATAATTTAGCATCAGGAACCTTAAGACTATGGTCCAACTTTAAAATGTTTCAGTAGGACTGTGTTAAAATGTAGCTTTGAGCTTTTAAAATACAATATACAAACTTGTAACGTAATATTATTTGCAACCCAAAAAAGTCCTATTCCTTTTCTAAATAATTAATTTAGAATGTATAGTTTTTCTTTTTGCTGCTCAAAATTTGTTAGGGTACTGCTATTTCCCTTACTTCTATACGAAAAATTATGCATTTCGACACCACGTACAGCTTCAAGTTGAGATGATTTCATGTGATAGATAATTATAATCTTGTATTGCAGTTTAAAATTATTTCGACAACACTTTTTTTTTTAATTTAGAAATTTAATTACAATTTAATATTTTGCAGAGACATATATTTTAAAATAAATACTTAATGGGGGAAAATCGAAGAATTCGAATTTATGTACGCATAAAGTCAAATATAAATAACTTTCAAAGATATTTCAACCAGAATTAGGTTCTTTTCCCATTGATATTTGATTTTAAAAAAATTTTTTACACTTCTCTAATAACTAATTTTACATTTTAATTACTTTGAATTTTTTTTCCGTTTGGAGGGGATTATCAAATTTTGCAATATCAGTTTGTGGGTTTTTGATAAAAGTAAGAATGTGGAAGTAGGCAATAAATTCCGATATCAATTCTAATGCGAATTCCTTTTCTTGGTTATTTTTATTCCATCGACATCAGAAATAAAGTGATTTTAGTATCATATCAAATAGCATTTTTGTAGTGTATATTAGATTTGAAAATTTCATTTGAGACGACTTCCCGATACATTTATTTTTCTGTATATTATTCAGTATTTTAATGCTTGCAACTTCAAAAAGGAAGTAAAGGAAAGATGTATATAAAAGGCTACAAGTTAATATTTAAGAGAGGAATTCACAAAAATAATTTCGACGCCTGTTCGAATCACTAGTGAGGAAGGCTACATGAAAGTCACAGAAACTATGTGACTCCTTATGAAACGTGAAAGTATTACTTATAATCGCCTTTCGATTTCTCTTTGTTTTTTTTTACATTTAATATTAGTTAAATGTAAAAAAAACAATACCGCGCTTTGTTTCAGGTGACGTGACTCAGGTTCAAATCTCACCGGTAGTTGGTTGATATGAATTTCTCTCCCGGCTCGCACCAAACGCTGTGCTGACGCAAAATATTCTCAGTTGCAAAAGTACCATGGGTTCGAATTCTTTTGTCTGGATAATCGTGAGAAGTTTTCCTCTCCATGTAAAGCATATGCGGATCAGTTCCATCAAAAAGTTCCCCGCGAAGGCTAGCTTATCCCTGTTAAAGCTCCCTTGTTTTTTGGGTGGGATTCAAAATTATAAGGCTGCAGAATTTATATTATATATATAATATCACTGACAAAATATCATAAGAATATTACTAGGAGTGTAGTTTTAACAAATATTTTTTATGATTTCAGGTTTTCTGTCCCTGAAATGGAAAAACAGGGCACCATGAAAAACCCTGATGGTCTGCTGGCCTATAATGGGAGACCATCACTCTTTTACCCAGCGATGAAAACTGAAATTGACGATGAAATCGCATCCCATAGTGGTTTCCCTAGCCGTCTAGCGAGCGGTCTAGGCACTGCTAAATTTCTTTGCGGTGCTTGTCTTGCTTTATTGGGAGGAATGGCAGTTTATGTTCAGGCATGGTCTGCCTGGATGTACGGAGGTATATGGAGTGGACTATTTGCCATTTTTACAGGTCTGTGCATTATTTTGACTGCGCGGAAACAGAAACCACAAAGAAAAGCGTTACTAGTGGCACTACTCGTTTTGTCTGTACTTGGATTTTTTAACACAGGACTTTTAGCCACATTTACTGCCATGGGACTTGTAGCAGAAGTATATATGGAAGATGTAGCTGGTGTGCTAGTGTGGCGTGGAATATCAAATGCGTCTCCATTTGTCGTACAGATGCTTCTTTTGACCACAGCAACTGTGGACTGTCTACTTTCTCTTGCTTGTTGTGTAATCAGTGGTCGAGAAGTCTGCTGTTGTGGGCAACCAACTCCAGCGCTTATAAACACACAAAGACGGGATCGCCTCATCAGCTGGTTGGGATCACAACATGGTGCAGCACCACCGCAAAAAGTATTAAACCTTCCTCCAGTTAAGTTGGTTCCATCAGTTCGCCAACCTAATCAAAAACGGAATAGACCAAAAACGCCATCCACTATGAGGGTATTACCTCCCAGTGGAGACACCAATGAATCGATTCCATCATCGAGTGGTGGTGCTTCCAATCTTCCTTTGGTGAAATCAGACACCAAGTCAAGAAGAAGGGGTGAGCGTAAAAACAAAAATGAAAACTCTCCCCCGCATTCAGAACGAAGAAAGCCTGCAAATGATTCAAGTTCCAGAGATATAAATGACGTACGACAAAATCCTATAGTCATTGATGAAAAATATCTTGCATTAGACAAAAAGTTGTCAGAAGAGTTTATCGATCGAACTTGGAAAAACTTCTAATATACAGTATCGATATATTTTACTCGCAATTGTTTTAGAAAGAGAGTAAATATTGAAACAGCGCACTCATTAATAAATTAAACAGTCATATGATATGGGATAGCGTTGTTGACAATATTAGGCTGTTGCAAACATAAATGAGCATAAGGTTGTTCCTGAAAAGTTCTCGCAGATAAGTTTATATTTTAATTTTTACAAATTATAAGAACAAAAAGTTTGTTCTAGTTGAGTAGCATCTGTCATGTAAAAATATGGAATAAAAACACGATTTTGTCTATTGATACCAGTCATAGTACTAAAGGAAGAAGTATAGTGCTAAAGAGCTTTACACAATTCATACGGATGAACAAAACCACAACATAATCTGCTCCAACAAAAACTTTTGAATACGTCGAAGCTTAATATATTTATTAAAGCTCCAACTTACTTTTAACATTCTCCAACCAATTATTTTTATTCAACTTGATAAGATGATTTTTCGAATAAACTACCGATTACGGAAGGGGAAAATCAGTATATTTCTTAATTCTCTACTCCGGTTTAACATACTGCCAATTCAAAAAACTTCACAAAAAGTTACAATACTTCAAAAGTTTGAATGAAAAAATTCCTATCATGTTTACAATTTTTATACTGTTATTTCTTTTAATACCATCATTTGCTCTCACATGCAATTTTGTATCAAAATTTTAAAGCCAAGTTATAGTATTTATTATAATTGTAAATTAAGTTTTACTCGTTTTACATTGTTCTGTTAAGTACTGAAATTATAACAAGTTATAGACTTGTCTTTAGTACATAGAGCTAGAGTTCATTTATCTAACTTAAGTTAGATAGAAAAACTCTAGGTAGAGTTTCTATATCTAACATTAGATATAGGAACTTCACCTAGAAGTGACTTCAAAACAACAACAAAATAAATTAAATCCATTTCAGTAAGTAAAAAGATACATGTATATTTTTTTCTAAAAAAGTACATCTTTTTATCTATTTAATCTTAAAATAAGGTGAAACAAATCACCTTTTTTCAAATAATCTCAATATTGGTTGAAATCACAGAAATGACTTCTGTACTTAATATAGCAAAATACAATTCTTTTTTATATTAAAAAATACTAATTAGTTTATAATACAGAATATTTTAAGCTTAATTGAATGAATGTTATTTTTTATTTGTTGTAATTGTGTGCTAAAATTTTATAGCACAGTTGTTATATGATGTTGTATAAAAAAAAGAACAATTCAATAAAATTTGTTCCATAAAAGCGATTGTGACTTTGCATTGGTTCTCTTTATTATAGTTTCTAATTTAAGTAAACTGTAATGCAAATTTTTTCAAGTGCCAGTAATTTATGTTTTTATACATATCATACACATAATTTCTATTTTTAAATTTTGTGGCGTGCCAAGAAAATTTTACGGTATGGCATACTGCCATGCAAGCCATAGTTATCACCCCTGGCTTAGACCAATAAATCATTTTTAAGAAATATTCTTATTTGCGATAGAATAATAAAATAAATAAAAAGTTTAAATCAAAGAAAGCAAAGGTATCTTCAGATTTGTAAGACTTTCGTAAAATAATCGCATACAGAGCAAGTTAAACAGTTAAAAAAAAAAATTTACAAGAGAAAACACAAAGTAAATTTTCTTGAGATAAAAAAATTACAATGTTTTAATTATTTAAGAATTAAGATATTTTACCTAACTATGAATTGGGAAGAAAGAAAAATTGAAGACAAGCTAAAACTTTCAGCAATATAGTATTTTATTGTTAATGCCATTTTATACATCTAATATATTAGGCAGTTTATTGCAGAAATATTATTGACTTTGATTTACTTTTTACAGAAGACAGATCAATTTGTTCTACAAATTATTTTTAATGAAATAATTAAAGTTTTTGCTTACAGGTACATTCTTACAAAACTTACACTGTATATCTTACCAATGTACAAGATCTGAAAGGTGACATTTTTCTCAAAATAGTGCCTTTATGAAAACAGTTGCAAAAAGGATATGCTATTTCTATACACCAAAATACACTTGAGTCGGATAATGATGATTAGTAAGCACAAAAATATAAATTATTCTAGATTAAAGATAGATATTCTTTGACATTATAGAAAAACAAAAATTAATACACAAGATTTATGAAAATGGATTAAAAAAATTAATTTACAAATATTAACATGAAATTAAAAATGAAAATACAAATTTAAATGATTACTATTAAATGAATTCATGAATTATATGCTATGAATTAGTTTAAATTAATTAATAAAAAATATACAACCATATTTAAAATGCTTCATATGTGTGATTACATTTTTTCTTTATAAAAATTAAATTAATTATTTTACAACTTGCTTCCATTAGAAATCCTAAAATAAAAAATGAATTCAAAAAACTATATTTGTTCTTAATTTCGAATATTATACTTTTATCGAATTAATATTTTAATTCTGAAAAGCCTACTTTAGATATCAAAAACTTTTTCTTTAGACTTTCTAGTCATTAGTTTCAATGAAATTTTGAGGTTATTCACATCTCATGCTCCACAAAAGTTTTTTTCCCCAGAAACGTTTTAAAGAAAAAATAATCACACTAGTTAGTTATTAAAACAGCTAAAAGTAATGACAGCAAAATATAAGAAAAATAAGGTAATAAGGTGCTATTACTTCCCTAGAAATAAAATCTCATAACTATACCAATAATTTAAGAAAATCTATACACTCTATTGTCATTTTAACTTATTTAAGTCAAATTTCATTTATCACACACAAAAAAAATTAGCCTTACTTAGTTTTCAGAATATGAAGAATATCCAATATAAATTTTAAAAAAAATACAAGAAAATTAAAACCTATATTTAAATTGTACGAATTTTGTACTGTTAAAGAGATATTTTTATAAATATTTTATTAGGAGGTATGAAAATGTTTAGCCTTAAACAAAAGCTTTCAACAAAATAAGAAATACGTATAACATAGATAAAAATATGGGTGGTAGTAACAAATGGATTTTTACTTGAATCACTTTGACAAACATGTTACCAGCACATAAAAGTCAAATTATAGACAAACAAAATGTATTTGAAAATTGTAATATTCAAAATATGTCATGAATAACATATGCTTAATAACAAGAACACCACTGTAATTATCTAGAAAAAAAACTTGTTGTTCTAGATTTATTGGTGACGTAATAAATAAAGATACAATAATTTTTACATTTTGTATATTTTGAACTAATATAACAGGATTTCATATAGGTTGCTTTGTAATTGCCGCCCTTAATATATATTCTTAGAATTCTTTTCCAAAATGAAGAGGAAAAAGTATACACATTAGGGGTTGGTATACCTCCCTTAAATATTAAAAAGTATGCATATTAATTAATATGTAAACGTGGAAAAACTAAAACACTATCGAAATCAAACAAATTCTAGCTTTAAGTATAAAACAAATTTAAATTTTTTTTAATTTATTCTAGTTACATATTTTTACATTGATAAATTAGTCGAGATAATTTTTAGTGTATTTTTAATTTCAATAAGACTTTCAATTAATACTTTTAAAATATAATCAAAGGTGTATACTGTTAGATTGCGAATGCAAACGTTTAAAAAAGTATGAATTTTAAAATGTTCACAGAGGTGTTCCTTTTAGAAGCACATATCGAGCTTGCTTCTCAGTCACTAGATTATGCATATATTTTTTCAATAAACTATCAAGAAACAAAGTGAATAAGAAATTCAAGAGTAAAAAGTTCAACTAATAGATTTTGACAAAGAATACTAGTGATATAATAAATCCCCAAAATTGCTTAAAGTCAAGTCACTTGTTTTATCCCAGTCTATGTGTAAGTTTAATGGACCTTTTCTCAGAAAACATTAATTAATTAATTAATTTCTCAGAACTTATATATACTCAAAAACTTATATTTTGTCCACTTATCAAGAAACAGATAATAATACACAGTATTTTTTTTTTTTTTTAATTTTCAGTCATTGATTCTTTATTTACTTTTTATATCAATTTTTTAGTAAAATAAAATTTGATTGAATTTTTTAAATCTTGAAACAAAAATTGTATTTTTTGAATGCATATGAACTAGGTAATTAAATATTCTCCATCACTTAAAGAAACCTTAAATTACAACTTTAAAAAATATTTTCTTTTAAATTTTAAAACAAAATAAATTAAAAAATAAATAAAACATACAAATTGAATGTTAAGTTATTTTAATAAATACAATATTTAAATACAATCTAATATTAAATAAATATAAAGATTGTATTCAATAAATATTAAATACAATCTTTTCTTTTTTAATTTAATGACTGATATTCATTTTGCAAATTTTGAAAGAAAAATACCAATACAGATGAAATATAAATTGAGCTCATTTGTATAAAATTAAAAAAATGTCAATGAAGTTAAAAATAAGGAATACAGAACTTTGAAATAGCACATTAGAAGAAAAAAAAATCTTATATTCTATATCTCCAAAATTTTTATGTTATATCATATTAAAGAAATCTTATAAAAGCAAATAAAGATTTAAAAAGTTCTGTTACTTAGTAGTGAAAGAATTCAGTAAAATAAATAATAAAAGTTTAAAAAATTAAAAATTTATAAAAAAAATTTAAAATTTACTTAAATCCTGAACAATACATTAATAAATCATAAGTATTTAAAATACAATGTAAAAAAGAAATTTGGAAAAAAATTTCTTTAAGAAATTTAAAGTTGAGCACTATCTACCACAAAACTTTTGAAGACTTAAATGTTTTATGGTTAAAAATTACAATTGGTATCTTATGAATAACAACAATCTTTTGTAAATACAATAATTTAATTATAGTATATTAGTAGATTAGGAAATTAAAAAAATCTGAATAAAGCAATTAAAGAGTTTAGAATAAATTCTGTAGTTTAGTATTAAAAGAATTCAGCAAGAAAAATAATAAAACTAAATAAAAGTGAGAAAACTCAATTTTCAGAATTTAGAAATTTATATATAATTCCAGTACAATGCATCTAAACATGATAAGTATTCAAACTTTAATAAAAAAAAATTCTAAAAAGAACGAAGTTGAGTACTATCTGATACAAGACATTTGAAGACTTGACATGCTTATAATTTTAACTAAATAAAAATTATATAGATCTTATGTTAATATGATTGTTACATTAATAGAAGTGTCACATATTTTCACAGCAAACAACTTACAGTATTTGATAATACTTCTATTCATTCATTTTGTGCGTAATTTACTTTGTTAATTTAATTTAAAATAAAAGCCACATTAGCAAATTTTAATATTTTTTTTGAAAATCTAAATGAATAATAACCATAAAAAAAAAACATAATGCATGACGTAAATTCTTCTTAAATATAATCACTCAATAAAGCAACAAAATTTAAGTAGATGAAGGAAGGGAAAATAACAGTTACCTGATACAGCAATGAATGTTGCATAGTATACAATATGCAGATAAGCTCTATGAAAAGTACTAATGAAATAGCACTACAAGCTGAATCAGTTACTTAAAAAAAACAATCCAACAAAAATATAAATTATTCTTAAAGAAATGTTAAAACTTGAAGACCAGCTTCTAAAGACATACACATATATATAGTATATATTATTTCAACTTATGTCATAACTCACATAGATATGTACAAAGTAACGATTAAGAGTGCTTGGGAATTGGAAATTTCACTTTTGTTTAATTTTATAGAAGCTATATAATTTTAGAAATAAATATTATAGTTGATGATACCAACATTGAAGAACAGCATTCCAATTTTAAGTATAACTTGCATTACTTAATTTTCAGGAGTTAAATATTATACAATTAAATTATATGAGATACATATAAATCATAAATAAATGTTAAGTTACGGAAGTTAAAAAAAAAAAAATTTTAAAAGAAAGAAAAATTATTTTTTTGATAATAATATACACATAATCAGAGGTGCCAACTTTAAAACTTAGCTATCAATAATAAAAGAGCAATAATTCAGAAAACGCTAACAAAAACCAAATAAGCACATTTTTAAAGTGTTTTTACTAGGTAATTCTATACAGGTATATACCTAATATTAATATTCTGAATAAACTACATATTAAAAAGAAATTACTACACATTATTCATTTGAATATTTTCAGTAAACAACAAAAATTCATAACTCTCGGTACATAAAGAGAAAAAACTTATTTTTAACAAATTATTACGAGAATTATCAAAAATCATAATAGTTGACACCTCTTCATAACTGAAATCTATTACACATTGAGAAAAATTCAGTATTTAATTTAAAAAGTAAGAAGAAAATTACATTTCTTTGACCTTTATGTTCCCAAACAACTTCTTAATATAAATGAACTGACTACTGACATAAATGCTCGCAAAATTATTACCACATCAATATATAAATGCATAATTCTTTAAAGCTATTTATTAGCCATAAAATGCAAATCAGTCACAATAGATATAAATTAATCACATTTATACCATCACTAGGAAATAAACTTTAAAAAATTATAATAGTATCTTGCATAGTAACAAATTTGTATAAATATACAAAAACATAAAAAGCTAGACATCACATGCTCATAAGTTAGCAGTTAGTAATATGAGTAATTACTAGTTTCTAGAAAAAATTAACATTATAAAATACAAACAAGAAAAATAATAATAAACATAGATAAATTAAAAACCAAAATCATTTAAATAATTGCACGCAAAGGCTAATTTATTTAAATATTAAAATTAAAGAAAATTTTATTTTTGTGAGTTCAAAATTTAAAAAAAAAAATAAGATAATAATTTAAAAAAATTTTTTTTTAAAAAGTGATGATATTATTATAAGAAAAATAATTCAAACTGCAATGTTAAAAATGTAGAAATGGCATATGTTAAATTTGAAAAAAAAAACTTGAGAAAAAATTTCTAAAAAGAATGAGGAGGTTACTTAATATTTTAGTACTACAGATTTTAGTAATAAAAAAAATGATTATATAATATTTTGCTACCATAAACTTTTACTAAAGTCATATTTAAAATAAAACAATTTGACTCATATGAATATGGAAATCTGAATTTAACTGATTCCTTGATTCCATTTACTAAACTATCAAATTATTTTTACTGTTACATTTTGGAAATTAAAAAAATAAAAAGATATGAAAATAAAATGCCCAAATTTTGATTCCAAAAAGTATTGCATACTACTTATTGATGCTGAAGGAAACTATTATATGTCCATAAGAATACACTTCGTTTTTTAAAATATAGCAACAAAAAAGAAAAAAGGATAAGATCTACATTTTGAAAAATAAAATAATAATGAAATAATAAAATACTATTTCTAAAGAATTAAAAAAAAATTGAGCTTTATTACCAGTAAGTTTAGAAACAAAAAAAATCACACTTTGCAAATAAACATAAATATTCTTATAATTATCAGAGGGAAAATCATATAACAAAACGGTATAAATAATATAAAGTTGACAGCTTAAATTATTATAATTTTAGTGCTTAAATCATAATAAAAGAAATTAAAACATACACTTGTGATGAGTGTACAGCTAAACAAATGAGGTAATCACACTGATAAAAATATATGTTACTTGAAATGGTCAAAGTTACAATAAATATACCACAGCACATTTTACAATCACAAGCACAAATTAGAGAATTTGCATATTTTTTTTGGCAGTTATGATGACGATGAAGTGTGCACTGGAAAATGATCATTGCACAAAAAGATGCATAAATTTGAATTCTTACACTATCATGATTTATATCCGTTTCAGCATATGATAATTGCATTTCATAAAACTTCATACTAAAATACAAGTTCACAGTTCAAACCGTAGTACTGTATGAACTATGACTGTATGTAACTTTTTGATCACCAGGCTCTAGTGTAACATCTTCAGTAGATGCTAAATTAATAGCAATACTATCGGCAACACTCAACTGTTGGCTGTGACTTCGGCTCAGGCTGGAACGGCTGAATCTATCTTCTGATGCCATTGTTTCTAAATCAGAAGTAACAGCCCTGAAATCATCAGCTGTAGTAGCAACGCTTTGTCCATCAGCTGGACTATCTTCATCTTCATACATCAGTATATTAGAACTTTTTGCGCCATCAGCTATTGCCTTTACAATAAAAAAAATTATAATAGAAATGTAATCACCAGATATGCAATAATGCAATTTAAACATCTATTTACATGATAAAGACTCACCATTACATATAATTTTTACTTATAAACTGTAAATGAAAATACTCAGGAAAAATTGTAACATTAAGCGACTTAAAAATAAAACAATAAAACTTTACACTTGATTCAACACAAAAAACTCCTCACAAATCTATATATATATATTTCCCTTACACGGCGACAAAAAAAAGCCTCATTACAATTCCCCGAATGGCAATGCTAGAAAATCGACCAATTATTGCCTCTAAAAATGTCACATGCTAAATCTAGCTGAGGTGGCTCAACATATAGCGCTTTTAAAAACGGAAACTGAAATAACCATAGAGAGCATTCTCACCAATGGGATCTCTTCTGAAATTCACCCTCTCAGCTGCGGCAATCTNCTCTATTTTAGTATTTTGTCGAAAGCGCTTTTTTTCACGAATTTATTTGACGAATTTTGATTTATATCACGAATTTATTTGTTTTATTATTGTTATTAGTTATTCATTGAATAATGAGTCTCAGTCGAGCTGTTACGCTTTCAATATTTTATACTATAGCACATTTCTAATAGGTTTAACGAATTACATGTCACTTATTTGAATTCAAATTTATTTTAATGACTTAGTATTTACTAAAAAGATAAAACTTTTTTTTTAAAAAAAAGTTGTTGTATGGATTTGAATAATTATTTTGAATTCTTAGAATTTTATGCATTTGCAATGTACCTAAGTTAGTAGTGAGCGAAGCGATCTTGGTTTGCGAAGCAAACCATATAAGATGGCGTAGCAATTTCCGGGGGTTGGTGAGCGTTAGCGAGCAGGGGGAGCAGCCCACTAGTATAAATTATAAACTCTACACTTCATAACATTTAGTAACTTTATAGAAAGTAAAATAATAATGATAATGTGCTGTTATAACAAATTCTTTTAACAATGGTTTACTTTGATTTTTAAAAATATAACCAAACTTTTATAGTTATCACTTTCACTCTCTTCCCTGCCACATTTAATATAAAAAGGCAATAAAAAATGTTTTATCAAGCTATAAAAATATTTATTTATGTTGCCGAATTTAACTATCACATATGAATATTTGATTTTGATTTATGCAACTTTCAGTATTTTTCTTTTTTAAAGATATAAAATATTTACTTTTCCTCAATGACAAATAAATAAATAAAATTGAACAAATACTTAAATATCCAGTTTTTCAAAATATATAAATGTATGTATGTGTAAATATATATATATACTCTCATTAAAATGAATAAACTATAATAATCCATTAAACTAAAATAAACATGTGCAAAAGATGCAAATAAAAAGATCAACATAGCCAACAGATTTTGCTGTTATGTTGTTATAATGAAATCCAGCACTTCTTTTAAAGGTATGTGGTGCTGTTGGCTGATAATGAGTTAGAACACTTTTTTATTTTTGTATGGATTTATTAAAATTATTTTGCTCTTTATAACATATTATATATATATATATATATATATATATAAGGATGCAGATCGACAAGAGAGGATGCTAAGTTTTGTCTAAACTCAGATAAAAAGTACTGAAAACAAAACTGTAATTTGATGACCACATAACCAATGACCTACAACTAAGCAAAAAAAAAAAAACACTCATTACCACACGGAAATGTATAGAGACTGTACTCACTTTCAAGATATCACTACACATGTCAGTTTCAATAGGAATAGGATCTTCATTTTCTCTATTAAAAATAATGACGGAAATTTGAACAGGATGTGGCAGAGGTAGAGGAATGATCAGCTTCTGAATAAATGTGCTTTGAGGCTTCTTCTTCCATGGATACAATTGTTTTCTGACAGTAAAACATTATAGATAGATAATTAATTTTCAATATGCATTTGGCTCAAACAAACATTTTTGAAATCGTATATTTGCTCAAGATTAAGTTTACTTTACCTAACTCGCATGCAACGTACGTTTGTTATTATGCCATGGCAGCTCTATGTAGCTAAACGGCACTAAAATGTACGTAAAAGAAACATATAGGCACCTTCAGTGAGAAGTTTCAAAGTCTTGAGTAAAATTAGCTTCCTAGCACATTTAGACTCGTAAAGATTTCATGACAAATTAATAGACATAAGTCTTCATGAAAAATGAAAGTCAAATTAAACATATTTACTTTGAAAACATTAGTTTCAAAGACACATTTGTTTAGGTGACCCAGTTATTGAATCTAAAATTCGTTTAATTTGAATAATTAGTCTTTAAAATCTAGAGTAAAATTAGTTTTCTAGCATGCTTCGACAAACGAAGTTCGACAAATCAATAGTCACATGTTTTCATGACAAATCAAATAAAAATTAAACTAATAGACCTTAATAAAATCAGTTTAGTTCAGTAGTTGTCAGTAGAATAAAAGTATGTTTTCATTAAATGGCTGAGTGGCCATATTTGGCCTATTAGCTTTCCCATAAGGACTTCATCATTTTAAAAAACTACATATTTTATTTTTAATATTTTTTCTAATAATAAAATTTTGAGCCGCAGTGACTGAAAAGATAGAGCATTTGGCTGGTTGACATGAATTCAACTTCCAGCTTGCACCAACCACAGGGCTGATGTAAAATATCCTCAGTGGTACATGCATCATGGGTTAGAATCCCCTTGCCACCAGGCTAACCATGAGTAGTCTCCGTGGTTTGTCTCTCTATGTAATGCAAATCGGATTAATTCAATGAAAAAGTCTTCCACAAGGCTAGTTTGTTGCAATATTTGACCCAGGATTTCCCTTGTCTTCTGGATTGGGTGCAAATTTCCAATGCTATAGATATGAACATTGATAGTCAAAAATTTAGAATCAGTGCAGCTGTTCAGTGCTGGTTACAAAATAATGAAATTTAGAATTGCATATTTTAAATATTATTTTCTCTGAGTAATTTTTAATGACTTTTTTACTTAATCATTAAAACTGGAGTGAATGTTTTGCTCTTTATCTGATTATACTAAATAAAACTGTTGGGTTACAAATCATTTTTGCAGGCTTTAGGCTAAAGGATTTTAAAAGTGAGCTTAAATGCATTGCTAGTGTAAAGCGAATAGCAAAACATAAGAGTTTTAAAAACACATAACACTAGATACCCATAGAAGGGACAAGGAACACCTAAATTAAAGATTTTCAGAAATTGTTGAATGTTTCAATAAGTGCTTCAAAATAATGATCTCCTCCGCTAAAAACAAATTCAAAATTAAACTACATTCTTTACCACATAATCGGAGCAATATTTAAAAGAACAGACTTACTCTGGGAAGATTTACACTTAAATTCTGCTCTATCTTTTTAACAGCTGATTGTATATTTAGTAGTACATTAATCTGTGTAAATAGGAAATAAATATTTGCCAAACATAAAATTAAATTTAAAAAAATTATTTCCTTAAAAAAATATAATTTCATATTCACTTACTTTCTCTCATCTTTTTTATGAACTGTATTAGAAGTGTTATACATAGGATTAAATGTACTGAGATCTAAATATGGTGAATGCACATGAATTTTCCCTAAAAAAAACGAAAACAAATTATTTTACAAGTCCATACACACCAAGATTTCATTTCAAAATAAATTATAATATAAATAAAAAGTTATAATTTTAATAGCATTTAGTCACAGTCATAAAATTTAATAAAAAAGTTGCTTTGTTTTTAATTTAAATTACAAACATAAAAATAAGATTGCCCAAAAAACAGAGAAGTAAAAATTTATGACAGATGTTGACTATTAAATTATTGAGATGATCTTGGGAAAGATTACTCCACTCAACAAGCAATGCTCTCCAAAGTTCCTGTGCACATGTAAGAGATGGTTGATGTACTACAACTTGTCAGCCAAGCATGTCTCACACAGGCTCTATCAGATTCAAGTCCAGTGAGAATGCTGCCCATTCCATACAGGTGATATCCTCAGATTGAAAACATTCGTCTGCCAAGTTTGCTAAGTGAGGACAGGCGTTGTCATCCATAAATACAAATTCTGCATTCATGGCATACTTAAATATATGTACATGCTGTCCCGATAAATTTGGCATGTCATGGTTTCAATTTGAACATGGATATCTGTTTTAGAGTTTAGCATAATTCCACCCTAAACGAGTAATCCTTTAATCTCATAACGGTGTCCTTCAATGACATAGTCTTGTTGGTAATGGGTACCTTGGCATTCTCCATATGAAAGTTGGACGTGAATTAGACTGCAAGCTAAACCTGGACTCATCAGAAAAAATTACAAAAGCCCACTGTGATAATGTCCACATTGCATGCTCTTTACTCCAGGTTGAACGTAGGTGACAGTGAGCTTTGCTGAGCAGGATGCATCTGACAGGCTTGCAAGCATATAAACCAATTTTTCCCAAACTGTAACATTTCATAAAATAGGATTTGTACACATATATGGTTTGCCTTGAAACTGTGATATGAATGGCTTCAGATAGCTGACAAGAAAGGTCGCATAATGTGGCCTGTCTGCTTTTTTTGGAAGATACTGCCAAATGCGAGTCTTCATTCGAGGTTGTAACTCAGAAGGCGACCAATACTGTAATGTCTTTTGACATTTCCATCATCTTGGAATCATTGCCAAAGCCTAGAGATGACACTTAAGGTAATTAACTATTCTGTTATGGAACTAAGCGTCTTGCAGAATACTTGCAAAGAATTTTATTTCTTTACCCAGCATTTCTTATATAACACTCTCTTACATTCTTGTCATTGTGACATACTATCAGTGCCATCTGGGAGCTTCCTATAATTTGCATATTATTCCTAAATTCTGCATTTGAAAATTTACTTTAGAGTTCAACTAAGTGATTCAGAATTATTCTTAATTAATGAACATCAGTGAGTACTAAAATAGTGTCCAAATATTTGTTATCTAGGCATAATCACTAATTAAAATATCACTCAATATATAACTAACTATATCAATAACAAAAGCAAACAATTAAAACAATGTGAGAAAAAATTTATATGTACTTGATTGTTAATTAAAAATGATTTACCTTTGGGTATATGAATAACATTGCTGAAATCCACATTAGGTTGCAAAGCAACTGACTGTAGCATTTCTGTATACCTAGAGAGATTTACACCATGGGCCTGAAAAAAAATCTCTCATTCAAATATTAAAGTTAAAAAAAATAAAACCATTAAGAAACTTATAGATAATAAGAAAGATTCAAACTGAAAATAACATGAAAATAATTTTTTTGCATCATTAATTATTTAACAATGGAATAAAACATTTTAAAAAATTATTTGATTTACAATTAAATAGCAAAGACTAAATTAATTACCTCTAAACGGTAACATGTGTCACGATCTTCTAGAGGAGTCAATATATCCACAGAAAATATTTCTGTTAGAAGTTGAGCAGCGAACCCTGTTTCAAATAAAAGAGCGAGTATTAACATGAAAATGTCTGAGTAAATAGAAAAGAAATTTAATAACTATTAAATGAAGGTACCTGGCCAATCTCTGAAAGATAATCCTTTTTTATCCCAAAAATCTTCTTCTTTTATTTGCATTCTCTTCAATACATGGACAGGGAAAAATCTTTGCAATATAACAGTGGCCACATGCAAAGTTGGCTATTACACAAGAGTAAATTTCTTTTTAATTAAATAAAATGTTTTTTGATATGGGAAAAAATGCTTTAACTTTTAAAATCTTTTAAAAAAGTTTTTTTAATTTTAACTGAAATTTCAAATTTTAAACATATTTTACCAATTGGCAAAATAAAAATTTTTCTTATTTAATAAATTACATTTTTCAAAACATAAAATTAAAAATCTGTCTTGCTGCTAAAGTTTTTACTGCCCTTTTTATATACATATAATATCACAAACGACAGCAAAATAAATGAGTTCCTTTTCTCACAATAGGAGAACTAGTCATACAAGTTATCTTTTCTTTTTAAGTTTTAGTTTAAGACATGAATTTTAAAAAAAAATTATAATAAAAAATCGTGTATTTCAATCTTTTTATTGAAATTTTTTTCTTCAAATTATTAATATTGCAATACACATTTTTATACATAACAATTTTTTTCCTTGAATTTGTTTTCAAGTGCTTATATCTTAAAACTTTGGTTTCAAGATAAAATGTATGACATAACACTTTTTTTTAGGTAAAAAATTTATATTTTATTAGTTTTATAGCAAATTGTAAAATATTTATCAAAAAGAATATCTATGTTTAGTTTGCCTATAGCTCTGGTAATAGAAATTTGATATTTTAAATCTACATATGATTAGATATTTATATAAAATTTAGAACCTAACAATTGACAAATTCAGACTGTTTAAACATTTAAGTCAAAACACATAGATTACTAATATCTTACTTGCAGATCTGCAGCAGCCAATTTGACTTTGGACCTAACATTCACTCCTAAACCTGTTTGGAGTTCCTTTTTTCGCCTAAAAGATATAAAGAGAGTTACAGCGAGAGATATTGTATTATTTAATTTCAAAATTAGTTCAATTATAAATGATATAGCTTTCACATATTTCTACAAAAAAATGACTTAAAAAAAACGAGAAACTTTATTACACACATTAGCTATAAAACAAACAGTATAACAATGCACACAGAATCAATAAAAAAAACTGAATTATTTATAGTTTAAAACTTATTATTTTATACTTAGTATTATAAGTGGTAATAATTTGAATACATAAATAAAAATAGAAAATCTTATAAAAGTGGTTACATATACAAGATATTAGTAAAGTTTCAGAAGAAAAAAAAAATTTGAACCAATAACTTTAAAACACATACACAAATTAGGATTGATTTTTAAAAAAAATATTTTTTCTTAATGGAAGGTACAAACAGAAAAACACTAAAAACATAAAATTAAATAAATTTTTTTATTTGTCAAGAAAACTTACATTTAACACAAAAATAAAAAAAAATTACCTATCCACTTGATCCCTAAGAGCTACTAACAATTCTTGAGCTTCTTTTTCAACGTCTTTATAAACACCTTCTTTGCACAGTGTTGCAGAAAAAGGATGAAAACATTGTGCAGCGAATTCCCTATACAATTAAAAATTTTAATAACATAATATATAATCATATTTAAAATGTTAATCAGTTAATAAAAAAAACTATTTTATGCATCCAATTTTTGGTATCTGCTAACTAATAAATTAAGTGGAAATAATTGTTGATCTTCTCAGTGTACAGAACAATTAAAAAATGTGATAAAGTAAAATTAGCAGAGTTTATCTCCAACATTGATTAAAAGTGAAAAAATTATACAAAATGAAAATGTAAAAACAATATTTACTGTATTTTTAATTGCAAATATTTACAAGAAATATATATGAAATCTTAAAAATAAAGCACACATAGAGTATAAATAGAAAAAAAGAGACATAAAATTTATGATATTGATCTAGTTGAATTAATTTTGTCTCTCTTAGCTTAAGTGACCATTGTACTTTTTAAGTATTCAAATTGTATATTAAATAAGCAACAGCTTTAATTAAATTTGAGACTCAAAGTTTAAATATTTCTTGACACATAATCCTCAAAAATTATAACTTTAAAAATGTACATAGAAAATTCCTTTAAAAAATTTTGTCATAAATGGAAAACATTATTATATGACTTTTAAAATTATTGTAAAAGCTTTAAAATTATTATAAAAGTCACATGTTAATCGATTTAATTAAAAAGAATATAATTAAGTCTAAAAATAATACTTAGCTGTCCTATAGGAGATTCAAAAAAGAAAAATTTAAATATATGACTTGTTGAATGAATTTATTTATTATTTTTTACCTCTAAATGGGAATGTCGAAATTTTTGAAGCTATTTAATAATAAAAAATTTCTCCATAATCAAGATTTTAAAAAAAATATATTATAAAAAAATTAATAAATTTTCTTAAATTACATATTCATATGTTTTATAATTCAACTTTGTATTGTGGGTGAAAATGAAATATGCATTTGTAAATAAATGCCTATTTTTAGGTTATATTTAAAATAAATTCAAAATCAGTATTTCTACTTCTAAGTTATTAAAGACCACGGATTGTAAATATATTTTAAAAATTCAATGCATATCTCACCTAAATGTTTGTTGTGGGAGTAAAATAATTCTTTCTACTTCTTCTTTGAAAGCATTTAATTCTTCAGTCTCAAGTTTGGCTTCAAAAGCAGCTAGAGCTTGCTCTGGATAAATCTACATCCAAACAATAACTTTTTTATAAAAAAATTGCAAATTAAAAATTTTTTTTATTTAACATAAGTTTAAAATATTATTACCTGAAAAAAATGTTCGTTGGAAAGACCAGGTCCAGCAATCCGTTTGACTAGCCAGCTATTGCTAGACGGTACACGACCACGTCTTTTGATTAGAATATGAAACATTGCAATATCCCAAACAACCCTACAACAAAAACGTAACAAGGATGCTGAAAATAAAAAAACAAAAGTCAAATACATGGTAAAAAATTTATCCTTCAAAAATTATAAGAGTTAAATCTTAATTACCTAAAAGAACAACAAGTGATACAACAGGACAAATAATGAGCGATACAAATAAAGCAAGGGAAGGCTGTAAAAGGCCTTGAACACAGATATGCCATAAAAGAGCCTCTAAAATTATGCATATTCTATTCCTTGGAAGACCTATTTAAATAAAAATAAATTCAAATAAATATAAATTTAAATAATTCTATTAATGCAACAAATTACTACAGGAAACACATTCTTTTCAGTTCTTAGCTTCTAATTTAATATTAGAATAATTTAAAAAAAGAAAGTGTTTATTACACTTACAATGAATTTATCTAATGTATTTTCGTGTGATACATGCCAATGAATAAGAATGAAGTAAATAGAATGCCAGTAAATATTAACATCAACAAACATTAAAAAAAATTATTCTTTAGAATAAATTAAAAACTAATTTTTTTTCAGTATTAAATAACTGTCTTAATTTTATTAATTTAAAAAAAAAGTTTAAAATATAGATATAGTGCATCAATTTTTTGAATAGCTAAAAAAAATCTATTAATCATAATAATTTAATTAAAATATAATAAAAAATACATCAGCAATTTTACAAAATAAGAAATTTTGTGCCTTTGCTGCGCTAGAAGGCAAAATTCAAAAAGTTTTTATAAGTTGATTAAATATTTTTCTAAAACTTTTTCAGTTCTTAAGAAGGGATTTTTTAACAAACTACCATTTCGCATTCATAACAAGCATTTCTAAGCATAACAATTCTAAAAAAAGTGAAGAAAAAATTTTAACCCCATAGAGAAAAAGTGAATGCCTAACTTAGTTATTGCAAACCGATATGAAACACCATTAGTGATTTTTGACATAGCTAAATGAAATCTTGTAGCACATCAATACAGTTGTCTTCAAAAGCAATTACTAAAATTCAAAACTATATTTGTGATCATACATAAATCAAGCTATTTGTTGTTATAGTGAAAAAGAATTGGTGCATGTGGATAATTAAAACAGATAGATGATTTTGTTTGAATATGATTGTGTGGGTAAATAATTTCATAGAAGAGAAAATGTTGTTCCATTCAGGATTTAATTAAAAACAAAGTAGTAAATTATACTTATTCATCACAGTTAAGATTAGCTTTGGAGGATGATGTTTCAAATACAAAAATAAATAAATAAATATGTAGGTAAATAAATAAATTAATTAATATGTAAATAAATAAATTAATTAATATGTAAATAAATAAATAATAAATATGCTAAATATAAAATGCNCTTATTCATCACAGTTAAGATTAGCTTTGGAGGATGATGTTTCAAATACAAAAATAAATAAATAAATATGCAGGTCAATAAATATATTAATTAATATGTAAATAAATAAATAATAAATATGCTAAATATAAAATGCGATGAAAATAAAATAAATTGCAGATAATGAAACAGGATAAAATTCAGAATAAACTTTGGCAAGGAATTTCATGACTGTTCCTTGCCAAAAACAACAATGGATTTTTTTAAACTACAATTGACACTATTATTCTGAAATATATTTATGAAAATAAAATAGACAATTTGTAATAACTGTAGAAATTCATGATTTAGCTATTAGATGTAATAAATTATTGACAAAATCTTTATTTTCAGATTTATACATTAAAATGCATTGGTGGATCATACGAAAGTATGAGAAGAATTTAATACCAATATCATAAGAAAGTGTGAGAAAGAATAACAGCTCTTCACTAAAATCAAAAGATTTTAAAAATTATGTAAAGGTTTCTGAATTCCATGCAAATGTATTAGGCACAGCTAGAGGGAATCTCTAAAAATAGAATAACTTCTACTAGCATGTCAAGGCTATTGAATAAAAACTACAATTAATGGTTTATTTTATTAAAAAAAGATTCAGTGAAATAATAATTTAATTCTTAATTTATAAAAACCCATAATGATTATTCATGACAGTTATATTTGAAATCAAAACTTTTTCTAAGATAATACTTTTGTTGAAGTCACACACTAATTTTTTTTTTATTTTGCTTTTGTCTATAAAAAAGGGAAAAACACAAACCATTCAATTAAAAGCTCAATTTTATTCTGAACTGTAAGTTATATCAAAATTGAATTCGGATTTCAGTCAGTATAGAATATATACATAAATTTATAGTCAATCAATGCCGATATCAAAATGTTCTTATACCACTTAGATGATATAAAAATTTTGAAATTTTTATCAATCTCTTTTATAAAAAATAGGCAACAGGTGCTATTATCTACTTATAATTTCAAATGTTATTAAACATTTTATACTACAATCATGTACTAAAAAAATCTAAAATTAATTTAATACCTGGACTATCAAAGTCATAAATTAAAATCATGATTGAATGGAAAAGTAATGTTGCAGCAGGCACCCTGAAATTAAAAGAAAATTTTTTAAAGCATTATATTTTTAATACTAATACTTTTAACTTTGAAAAAATATATAATATATGATGTGATCATCACAATGTTTGTTGTGCCATTTGCCTACTGGGCTGTCTCCAACTGAAGCGCCCTCTTATTTGTCTTTGGCCTTTTCGAAATCTCTAGGGCTCAGCACCTACCGCGTTGACCATGAAGATTCTCGAAACCACTAAAGAGGGGATGCTATCTTTTGGAGATAGACCAGTATTCCCCGTAGAGCTCTCACCAAAGGTTGGTACCTTCTTTTCTGCAATTTTTCTCTCTCCCCCTGTGTGCTCACAGATTGTGGATCTCGTATTTATTTCCACTGTTTTATTAATTTGCAACTACCTTTTAAATATTAATTATCTTAAATTTTACTACATTTTAACAATGTAGTAAGAGGACGCTTTAGATAGACCAGTATTCCCCATAGAGCTCTCTCCAAAGGTTGGTACCTTCTTTTCTGCAATTTTTCTCTCTCCCCATGTGTGCTCACAGATTGTGGATCTCGTATTTATTTCCATTGTTTTAATAATTTGCAACTACCTTTTAAATATTAATTACCTTAAATTTTACTACATTTTAACAATGTAGTAAGAGGGCGCTTTAGATAGACCAGTATTCCCCGTAGAGCTCTCACCAAAGGTTGGTACCTTCTTTTCTGCAATTTTTCTCTTTCCCCATCTGTGCTCACAGATTGTGGATCTCGTATTTATTTCTATTGTTTTATTAATTTGCAACTACCTTTTAAACATTAATTATCTTAAATTTTACTGCATTTTAACAACATGATGATGCTTAATTAAATTTCGATATCTTGTCCCAGGATCCACATGGGTTGACATACCCTTCTGCCAGTTCATGTATCTTCTCTTCTGCAATGTAACATCTGCTTTACCAAAGTAAAAAAAAATAAAGAAGGATGCCTTGATAAATTTGTCTTTCCTTTTGAGATTGAAAACAACACAGTATGACCAGTGATCTTACCTGGATGTAACACCATTCACCGTCAAACCAACTGACCACTACACCACCAATAGAACAGTGTATTTAAAAAAATTGGAATTTTATGCAATCACATTGCATTTGATGCAATGATTTCAATGTTTTTTTTTCAAACATTAATTGAAATATTGTTTTACCAATCTTTCTATTGTTTATAAAATTGTCTACACACATAAGTTATAAGGAATAAGCAACAGAACTAAATAAGAAGCCGCAATTACTATAAAAAATTATGTTCTAAAGAGTCTTTTTGTAGTAATACTTTAAAATTCTACACATTTTTATGAATTAGTATGGGTAAATTTTAAAATTTTTACAATTTTCGATTGAAGCATTTCACATAGGATTAACATTATTAAAAAATGCTGCTATGCCTGAATTATGAAGTAAAAATAATAAAATGTTGAAACAAAAAGGATCATATGGCACGAAAAACTAATAAATTCACACTTCATAAATTCACATTATGTTATTTATACAATAAATAACAAAAAGCTAAAACTAAGAAATAACTTGAAATCAAAATTGACGGCTAAATATCCAAAATATATATAGTAAAATAAACTTACCACAATGGAGCAAATACAGCAACAGATAAAGACAGGAATGAAACAAACAGACACAGAAATGGAAAAAAGAACACAATCAATAATGTTCCCAAAGCACCTTTAAGTAAATAATTCCAAAGGCGATTCAAATGACGACTAAAACCTTTACCAATAAAACCTATAAATGAAAATAAATTTAAAACATGTGCATGCAAAATTATATTTTATTTCTGAGTAGATATTTTTGCTCACCTGTATCAGGACGAGATTCAAATTCAGTTCTCGACTTAGATATATGCCTCCACAGTAAAATTAATCTTGAGCACAAAGTGTTAGTTATGGATGATTTTCTGGGATATAATGTACCCTAGAAAGTATAGAGTAAAGAGAGAATCAGTACTAAATAAATTGATCAGTTTCTAAATAAACTAATAACATAATAAATTAACTGAGTATTTATAGCTAACTGAATAAATAAAGTTTCACTGTAAAAAGTACAAACACAACAATAAGGTAACTCTAATATTAACTACATTTATTGCTTCAGCTTATTTAGAAATGGTAAAGCTAACTGAAAAGAAATAATTATAATAGCTCAAATATAAATTATTTGTAAAGAGTTGCAGAGTTCCTCACACTAATTTTAATATCTTACTCAAAAAATCAAGCTTCTCTCACTAATTTGACTGCTTTTTTATATACATAGTACAAAACTTAGTGATACGCAAATGGACAATGATTTCTATATTCCTTTTAACAAAATCTCTATTTTTATTGAAATAACCACTCTTCATAGCATTTTGTGCATTTCAAAACTCCTTAGCAGTTCTGCCAAATTCTGAAACATTTTCAGTAAGAAGGCTCAAAAAACTTTTTTTTACACAATACAAAGCATTTTATGGGAAAAAGGCAAATTTTTGAAAAAGAGTTGTTTATCGAAAAATCAGAACATAATGGAATTCTTCATAATAATTTCAGCACAAAATTATAAATAACAGTAAGGTACAGATTTTCTGTGATATAAATAAAATAAATAAAGGACTTCTTATTTAGACAAAAATATTTATTTAAATAAAATTATAAGAAGTAAACTTCTGATCCATTAATTTATGCAAAACCAAATATAGAGTAAAAAAAAAAAAACAAATCTCATAGTATAATACAAAACTCAAAACAAATAAACAAAAAGACATTCTTCTGTATTTATTGACTAAAGTAATCTTAACTGTCTAAAGTTACAAAAAGAAAATTTAGAAATTATAGCAAAAAAAAAAAAGAAAAGGTATTAAACTATACCAATTTATGCTTTGCTAAGTAAGCAAATTTACATCATAAAATTTTTTTTTTAAGAAAAAAAAATTTAAACATTGAAATTTTGTTTAATAAACGAACTTGTGTTGTAAACTTCTGATCCATTAATTTATGCAAAACCAAATGAATAATATAGAGCAAAAAACAAATCTCATAGTATAATACAAAACTCAAAACAAATAAACAAAAAGACATTCTTCTGTATTTATTGACTAAAGTAATCTTAACTGTCTAAAGTTACAAAAAGAAAATTTAGAAATTATACCAAAAAAAGAAAAGGTATTAAACTAAACCAATTTATGCTTTGCTAAGTAAGCAAATTTACTTCAGAAAAAAAAAATTTTAAGAAAAAAAAAATTTTAAACACTGAAATTTTACTTAAAAAACGAACTTGTGAAGAAAAATTAACAATATAAGATAGTATGGTGTGATTAAATTCAAAACGTTAATGAGTTAGAAATATAAAAAAAAGTTATGAGAAATTAAGAGAAACTTACATCAATTTGACTGATTTCTAAATCTGGTATGAAGGGACGAATGCAAAATAAAGCCCTCAAGCTAACAGGGCTGCACCATGGTATTATTACCTAAAAACCATAATATCAGTTTTAACATATTAAAATACTAAAAAACATTGAATGTATGACAATTTTTACTTACACCAAATATAAACATAGCATTCCACATCCATGAATAAGTGCGATAACAATAATTGATCCATCTCCAAAATGGTGATCTGGTAGTGGTTGTGTGTAATCTCTGCTTTTCCACCAGGAAAACAGGCTAAACATTAAAAATTACATTCTGTAGAGGCAATTAAAAATCTAAAATAGTTTGCAATTTGACATGAATTTTTTGATATATCTCTACTTTAAACAATTTTTATGTCATCTTCATTTTGCTATTACAGAGTCACCTATGAACCAAAATGCAACAACCTGTCTGTCAGATTGGGATACTTTTTTCTGGAATCAGAAATGAAAACTACTGAGGTTACTATCTAGAGATTTTGAAGTTGCTCCTATTTCAGTGGGTGAGATCAGCAGTTAAGTTAGTTGTCATTATTTCCATCTTTCAAAAAATTTCTGATATCCATTTTTAGATTTTTGATCTGATATTCCCTTCTGAAGATATTTGATGTTATTCGTACATTTTGAACACTCTGTGTATATCTATAGGATTACATTTTACTTATGACTCGTGAAAAAATATTATATCTAATCTAAAGCTAAATTTTTTTAACTCATTTAGCATATAACAATTCTTTAACTTAAACATATTTTTCATACTTTTTTTTGTATTAATTTAAATCAAAATAAGTAAAACATATCATAGTTAGGGTTTTAATAATTTATGGTTATGAAATACAGCATGAAACATCAGTGTTTTTCACTGAGTTAAAGATAAAATCTCCCAAACGCAGCTCACTTCTAAACTGTAATTTTTCAAATTTGCAGTTATTTAGATCTAAAATAAACAGTTATTCATTATTGAAAGTACTTTCATTTACAAAATCAATTATTGATAAATTTTTTAATATGACTGAAAAAAAATTTCAAATTCCTTTTCCTAAGTTTTATATTTTAGTACAAATAAAATGATAATCTAATAGATTTTTTTAGTAACTACTAGACTGTAAAAAACTGCTAAAATATATTTTTGCTTGTAATTAGAGCCTCAGAAAAAATATCTAAGTAAAACTTACACCAGTGTCCCATCTATCTCAAAAGGTTAAGAATCATGAGGAATAAAATCTTTTTCAATTAAGAGTTCAAAAACAGACTTTATGAATTTATTAATCATTAAAAATTTTCTTTAAATCCAAATAACAACCATCATTCGCCTTAGGACCCAATTACTTTTTTATAATTTACATATATGATTGGGTATATAGTTTTATATTCTGCTAAAATTTCCTAAAACTGCTGCCATGCCATAAAAAAAAATTATATAAAAAAAATAATAGTCAATGAAAAGTTAGAGCAATCATAAATTTGAGATCATTTAAAAAAAATCTCCCTCACAGTTTTATAAAATAACTTTCTAAAGGGTAGTTCTAATTAGGGAAGANTCACCTATGAACCAAAATGCAACAACCTGTCTGTCAGATTGGGATACTTTTTTCTGGAATCAGAAATGAAAACTACTGAGGTTACTATCTAGAGATTTTGAAGTTGCTCCTATTTCAGTGGGTGAGATCAGCAGTTAAGTTAGTTGTCATTATTTCCATCTTTCAAAAAATTTCTGATATCCATTTTTAGATTTTTGATCTGATATTCCCTTCTGAAGATATTTGATGTTATTCGTACATTTTGAACACTCTGTGTATATCTATAGGATTACATTTTACTTATGACTCGTGAAAAAATATTATATCTAATCTAAAGCTAAATTTTTTTAACTCATTTAGCATATAACAATTCTTTAACTTAAACATATTTTTCATACTTTTTTTTGTATTAATTTAAATCAAAATAAGTAAAAAATATCATAGTTAGGGTTTTAATAATTTATGGTTATGAAATACAGCATGAAACATCAATGTTTTTTACTGTGTGAAAGATAAAATCTCCCAAACACAGCTCGCTTCCAAACTATAATTTTTTAAATTTGCAGTTATTTAGATCTAAAAGAAACAGTTATTCATTATTGAAAGTACTTTCATTAACAAAATTTGCAATAATTTCAATAATTATAAATACTTTACTTCAACTACTTTCACTTACAATTATTGATACATTTTTGAATATGAATAAAAAAAAATTATCTTTTCCTTTTTTTTAAGTTTTATATTTTAGTACTAATGAAATTATGATAATTTTATAGATTTTTATAGTAACTGTTATACTGTTTTTTATAGTTAAAAAATGCTACAATATATTTTCTCTTGCAATTAGAGCCTCAGAAAAAAATATATAAAAAAGGTACACCAGTGTCCCACCTGCGTCAAAAGGATAAGAATCATGAGGATTAAAATCTATGTTTTTTAATTAAGAGATCAAAAAGAGACTTAATGAATTTATTGATCACTAAAAATTTTCTTTAAAACCAAATAACCAACCATCATTCTCATTTTGACCCAACAATAGTCAATGAAAAGTTAGAGCAATTTATAAACTTGAGTACATTTAAAAAATCTCCCTCACAGTTTGATAAAATAACTCTTTAAAGGCTAGTCCTAATTTAGGGAAGTAATTAAAAATTAAGATATACTGCTGAGGACTTTACTTTAAGCAAATGTTTAAGCTTTTTAACATTAAAATTGAATATCAACTTTTCATTTAAACCAATATTTCTAAATGACAAAGATGCAAAAAGATAGAAAATTAATTAACTATAATTTAAACTTAGAACAACTATTCCAGAATGAAATAATATTTTAGAAATGAAATAAAAATCATGATTTAACATACTTGGTTAGGATCTGAACGTGGTTGAGCAAGTGAAGAAGAAGTTCGACTAATGACTGTGGGAACAGCTTCAGCTTCTCCCTGGAATACTTTTCTAACATTCCAATGATGAGGACTCCATATTTGCGTTCGCCAATGAAAAGAGCGATTGGGCTTTCGAACTTTACTAAGTTCTTGTTTTAATACAGGCTCTCTCTACGTAGCAAACAAAAGTAATTTTAAGTATGGCATAAAATATCTCCAGGGTTTTTTTCTGTCTGCACTTTTTTAATTAAAAAAATAAAACTTAATTTTTGTGAAAGAAATTCATGTGGAAATAATTCAGTAAACCCCATAATTTTTTAACAATCTCATTTATATAAACCTAATAAGTAAAATTAAGTAATTACAGTAAGTCAAAATCAATAAAACTTTTATTAATAAATGTAACATCAACCAAGAAGTATTTCAGAGTACAATTTTAAGACCACAGCTATTTCTTAAAATTAAATGCTAAAATCAGAACTTTTGCAAATGATACAACATTTTTATACTCATCAAACAATTTAAAAAACCTAGAAGTTGATTTTAATGATGATCTTTACAAAATCCGAGATTAATTTACTGATAATTTTTCAAACATAATATCAACAAAATTTATGATTTTCCAATTCACTAATGGCAAAGGAAAATAACTTGTCATTCAAATACTTGTGTAAAAGAAACAAGTAAATGAGCTGCAGATCTGAGAAATTAGAACCTAAGACCACAATGGGAATACTTAGTGTACATATTGATTGAAACTTAAAATGAAAAATGCATGGAAATCACATAATAAGACAGATTTATATTGAGCAGATTTTACAACTTAAAATTAAAAATATATTTCTTCTAACTTTATATTATGCATGGATATACTTTCATATTCATTATGGCTAATCAGTTTGGGGGGAGGATTACATAACTAACATAAATAAATTATGTAATATCCAAGATAAATTTATTACATTCTTACTAAATAAAAATGAATGAATTAACCCAAACCACTACCAGTTACTCTAACCAATCCGTAATTTATTAATCTGCATCTTCTTAAAAACTCAAACACTTGTAATGTAAAAGACACAATTTGATAAGAAAACCTAACCAAATTTATTTCAGACTCAAACATAACAAGAACATTTTATGTAAATGAATTTATTGCCAAAATGCCATAATTTATGCCCTGCTGAAATTCAAAATGCCAATAGGTTAAATAATTTTAAAAAACTATTACAAAATTTTTCTTTTTCTCTACTTAATATTGAAGATTTTTCTTATGGTAATTCGATACACCCTTTACCTTTACGTTCATCTTTTTCAATAGTTATAATGTTCATATTTTGTGACTGATTCAACTTGCTTTAAATCAGACACTCCTGCCTGCCACCTTTCAAACTTTAAATTTCATATTTGCATTTAGTTAACTCTTTTGTGTTTCACTTTATAAGTGTATCTTTTCTTTTCTTTCCATTTACCCTAATGTATAATCACATTTTATTTCATGTATGTTTATTTCCTGCTTTAATTTTGCATTGTATTTAATTAGTAAAGTAAAAGGTAAATAGATTACTAAAAATTTATTTAAGCCAAATAAAATTGATCTTGAAATTTCAAACCTAAGAATATTTATCCAAATGGCGAATATTTTTCCACATTTATCTGTCTATGTTTTTTAATTATGATAAAAAAAAAATTAATACATTTTTCGTTCATCAGTATATACTAAAACTATAAAAATCAATTCTAAAAATATATATTACGAAAAAACTCATGGATAACACAAAACATAATTAAATATATAAACTGAATATTCACCTCTCTCATGAATGTCAAATCTCTTTGCAAAAAATAAGAAATTTGTTCCAATCTACTTTGTCGACAAAGTGCTAATGCTTCTTCATGAGCATCCCAGCGATGATCCAAAAAGAACTCTTCCTAATTTTAAGAATTTTTTATTAAAAAATTGTTATAAAAATACACTAGAAATTCTATCCCAAATTGAAATAATAAAGTGAATTAAATGTGTCTTTTAACCAATAATCTAAAATAAATAATGCAGCAAAAATTCAAAAAAATATTTTAGAATACTTATTTTCAGATTTAGCAGTGTAAATTCAATTTAAGTTTTATACTTAACTGAACCAAAAAATGTTTTAAGATGTCTAATATGAAGGTAGTAAGAAAATATATGAAACTTTATTATGAGCCTGTCTCGGTTCTAATGTATTAAATTCAATAAAATATCACTTAATACGTTTGTCTACTAAACTCTTCAATGGATTACTTTCTTCAACTTATTGCAAGTTTTATAACGTAAATTGAAAAATTACCTCTGCTATATTCAATTTTTCTTTCACCCAAGGCTTCACTTGAGAAAGAACAGGGTACATTTCACCCAGCAAACGTTTCAGCTACAAAGATAACAATAAACAGTACACATTTAGTAGTGAACAAAATTAAAGTGTTTAAAACAAAACCAAGTTTTAAAAAAAAATAGCAAATTTTCAGAAAAAATAAGCATTTTTTAAATTTTTAATCAGTTCTTTACTTGCTGAACACAATAAAAAAAATTATTAAATCAGATTGAATCCAAAACCAATATTTTTTTTACTTGATTGACTATTTCAATACACAGAGACAGAAATAAAATAAAAATCCCTTGAAAATTGCAATTTTTCTCTTGCCACATAATGTATTTTTAATTTAAAAATAATCATTAAAACTAAACTAACATTTTTTAAATTTTATAACTCAACTTTCAGCTGCTACTAAATAAAAACTGAATGCATATTAAAACTAAAACTTCTACTTTTGTTCATATCCTTACTTATGTTATTAAATTTAAAGAAAAATATAAAGTCCCACATTAAAATAAAGAAAATTCAGAGATATTTTTAAAACAAACTAAACAATTTCAAATTATTCATACATTACAGAAGTAAAATTATCTACAAATACATTTAGTCATCCGCACTCTTAATATATAGCAAACGTTATGAGGAGGCTAAAATGAAAGATTGGTTAGATCCTGAGAAAAATTAATTAAACTTAAGTTAAAATGTCCCTTGATTAAGTTTTTTAAATGTAAGAAATATTAACAAACACGAAAGTTTTTTTATAAAATTTATAACCTTCTGAAAGTTAAAGTAAAATCACTTCGTGCATCATTTCTTAAGAGATTTTTTATATTCAATAAAAACTGCAAAAAAAACCTGAGAAAGTGTTTCCTTCAATCGACGATGCATATTTTCAACTGCTCGATGCATTAAGATAACACACTGGGCTTGTTCAACTAATAATGGACCTAAATTTTAAAAAATGAAACGACATATTTTGAATAATAAATATCCTACTCAGATTAAAATAATATTTAAAACACAAACAAAATAAATACCTATTCCAGATCCTAACTCTAAAATTTGAGGATGACATAAAATAGCTGCAAAAACTCGGCGTAAATATTCATCCAGAACTAAAATATTTGCTACCTGAAAAAAAAGATGGTATATACAGATACAGGAAAAAAAATTCCACATGAAGTTTAATGACACTTAACATAAACTCTAAAAGCAAACAATATTATATCATATTTAATTTTTCAAACATTAATAAAAGTTATAATATTAAAATTATAAATAAAGTTATATATAATAATTTTAAATTTAAAGTTTAATTTCTACATAGATACGTTTTCTTGCAGTGATTCTTGTAATTGCTAAACTATTATAAGGGTGTTATTAAATTGATGAAAAATTAAGCTTTAGAACATTTTAAGTTTAAATAAAATAAAATTATAGCTACCAAAGTTTTCCAAAAAATTACATAGCGTCACAAACATAAAAAATTAACGTTTTGGATTATTAATTTCCAATTGATTCAAAGCATCTTGAGAAAAGCAAAATTACTAAAAAGTTAAAGCATGAAAAAACTTAACATATATGAAACTAGAAAGCAATTGCAATGTTTATCTGGAGTAGTTTCTATCACAAACGCTATTTTTAAAAAATAATGAGTGTGTCTATAAAAGCATTGTGTTGAATGTCTCAGGTTATATCAAGATTGTACGTAATTTTATTACATGATTTCAACTTTTATACAAGATTAAGAAAATACTGCTAATTAATACCTAATTTAATATTTATACTTCTAATCAAGTTTTGATATTTAAATGTGTAATAAAAATGTTTTTAGCTAAATGGTAAAATTGCACTAATCTAAAAGATTTGGAATTTTATATTAATTATTTATATGGAAAAAACAATATTTTTAAAGTAAGCAAAACAAAATGTTCATACTCTTTCAAGCTCTTCATCTGAAATTTTCTTAGCTGAAAAAATTGTGAATTAAAAACAATTTAGAAGATAAATACAACAAATATTTAACATCTGAAAAAAAAATTGATTTATAAAAATAAAATAAAACTAACTTTTAAGATCAGATATTACTTTCTCTCTAAAGGGTAGAAACCAGCCTCGTGATTCCTTTTCTAAAATATTGGCAATAATTGGAAGTGATTTACGAATAATTTCTGAAAAAAAATTAAGAAAAGATTATATTGCTAATGAAGAAAATATTATTTTGGAAGATTATTTTATAAAAATTAATAAATTTACTTGGTTACAACTGCAACTTTCTCAAAAGCTTGTTTTTTTTCCATTTTTATTAATTTTTTGTAGCTATAAAAACTTGCTAAATAGTTTTTTTTTTCACTAAATATATTTAGCAATAGTGTGATAAGTTTATTCCTAATAGTGCCTTACAATTTTGCATTCATTATTTTAATAGTGTAAGTTAACTGGACATAGTATTACTAAAAGCTTACTGCAAAAAAAGTATCTAACCTATTTATGGTTTCATAATTCAAAAATTCTCAATAAATTATAGTAGATTGTTTTAAATATTTTTTCATAAAATGCGGCATAATAAGGTAACATCTTAAATTTATAATAAATTACGTTATAGTAAAAAAAAATTGATTTTAAATTTAACTCTTAATTTAAAATTAAAATTTTAGTTTTAAACATGAAAGGAAAGTTAAAATCATATATTAAATATTACCTGAGAAAAGACCAAGAGAGAATAAAAAGAATGAGCAATGTGAGGAAACAGTAGTAAAAAAAAGGGAAAAGATATAATTTACAGGATATATAACTTTCATTAATAAAGTGGTGATAACAATTAAAGTAATCTGGATAAAATGATAATGTTTTTCTAGCCAATAAGAATACATTGACAACAAAACAAAAATTTTAAATTTCATCCATTAATTATGATTAACATTGTGATCGTATAGATTTAAACTTAAGATACAACATAAGGGAAGGAAATCAATAAATTAATATTGATTTAAACAACCAACTGAAAATTAGGATGTTTAACCCAAAATCAGGTAGAATAACATTATAAAGAATCAATTAGCAAAATGTTGGTCATTATTTAGCATCAGGCTAAAATAATGACTAACATTATTACATTTACTAAGATATTAATTATGCAGTTATTAAGCTATTTATTGATAAAAATGATCTAAATTAGATAGTTTTGGCAATTAAGTAAAAGTTTCTTGCACATGGCAATTACTAAATAATCAGGACATATATAATATAAATTTAAAACAAGGCGCTTACATTTCAAATTTAAGAGGGAAAAGAAATAATGTACTTAAGAAAGATACGTATCCTTATCTGGTGATGTTTCTCCCGGGAGAAATAAAAAGGCCACTCTGTGGCGAAAGTTCATTCTTGCAGCTGTGGCACTGCTTTCCATTCTTAAAACAAAACTATTCTCCTAACCGATCCCAGCTTGAAGGGAGGTTGTTAAAAATTAATAGTGCCATAAAATTGGGGTTTAATTAAAAACTTGCCTAACAATGAAAATGAATAAAATACACTCATAAATATAATAATTTTTAAATCAAAAGCCATGTTACAACCTAATTATTATCAACAGTTGACTGTATTACTTAATACATAATTATTTAACACTTAATACATTTAGACAATTATCTTTTTATATTATTTAGAGATATAATATCAAAATTCATTTCAAATTACTTATGTACATTAGTACAAAACTTAAAAATTCCAATAATTGGTATAAATAAGGTTGGGCAGGAAATAATAACCATAATGATAATTTCAAATTATTTAGGTAAATTACAAAATTACCCTTGTTATTAATACTTAAGAATTAAAAGCAAGGCATTCCTCCAACAGCCTCTAATGGGACAGCCCAAGAGGGTCAGGGAAATTAAGGCTAAAGCTATATGAAACTGAGTTAGTTTAATTGTAATGGTATAGTCCATACATCATGTTTTATGCTCAAATTGTCCAGTTTTATTTACTAGTTTAATGTTAACTATGATAGAACTGTTTGCAATTATATCATTATAACTACGTTTAATACCCCAGTTACACATTTTCTAATATTGACCTGGAAAACTTAAAAACATACATTTGATTTATCATTTTAACTAAAGAAAAATAACAAATATTTATGTAAAATGTTAATTGTAAGCAAATATAAGAGAAAATTTACCTTTATTGAACAATCGTAAATCAATTTCCCGACCTTTAGGAGTTTGAAAGTGATAGGGCACAGGAGGGGACTTTTCATTTTCCTAAAGAAAAAAAAAATTGAATAATAGCTGTTTTCTGGACAATACATCAACACAGTTTAAAAATTAATAAAAGAAAAACAAATGCATTTTAATAGTTATTAGTAATTTAAAATAGAAAAAACACTTAAACATATTTCTATTTTTTATTTAAATATTACTGTTTAAAACTTATAATATAATAATAAAACTGCAGATTTCATATCTGACATTCCTTTAATTTTAAGCCATAAAATGTAGCAGTGTTACAGCTATTACCTTTCTTTTGTTGCTGTACACTTAATTGCAGTCAAATAATAGATAACGTTGTGCATGAGAATATTTAAAAAATTTCTTCAACAAATTTTAATCAAAACAAATAAAATTAGGTTTTAAACTGCTATTTAAAAATAAAAGTTTTAATATAAAATTCGTTTACTAACAAAATAATATTCAAAATCTTGCATCGATAATATTTTTATTGCACAAACTGCAGAGCAAACTAATTTCTTTCATGCTAATATACAAAAAAATTATAATAATTGGGGAATGACTAAAATATTATGCCAAATGCATCTTTTAAAAACTATTGTGACTATTGCACCTAATTATCTTAAAACATTGGTGTTTTTATCCATTCATGCATATTTTAATTTCAATAAATGTTGCATATTTCTAAACATTTTTTACTTGCTAAACAAACCTGCATCTTAATTACACTCATTATGTAGAAAAATTATGTATATTGTCAAAACATATACCCAAATTTGCTTACTAGTGAACACAACAAAGTAAGGAAAAATGATGCAAAATCCTAACTGATAAGTTAAGCAAATAAGCAGTAAAAGTATTGTATTATTCTAACAAAAAAAAACACTTCCTAAAGAAAATGTATTTGAACAATAGCTTAATCAACCTATAAGCGATATACTTTTTTACTTAATCAATAAATGAATATTTACCAATATATACTTTTCAGGATTTAAAAGCTATAACAATAGATGTTGGATAACTTATTCTCTAAAAAAATAATAATATGACTTTCTTAATAAAACAAGCTCTTCATCTATATTACATCACGTCTACATTAAATGACATACATATAAAATTCATCAATGAAAACTTAAAAAAAAAAGAAAAATGACTCACAAAAAAATTTATAAATCAATAGTTACAATAAAATATTTTAAAACATAAAAGTATATAAACAAATGGTAAAAGGTAATTCCAACTTATTTAACACAGCTTTATCTTTGGGATTAAAAACTTACAAACATTTTTGTCCTTAAAATTACAGACTCTTATTTAACTGACATGTTTTTTTTAAAGAAGAATAAACACAATGAAGAAACGGCTTTAACATCAAATTAATCTTTACAAAAATATAATAGAAACATAAGGTCAGGTGGGGTAGAGTGGGTATAAAATCAAGCTGCTTTTTTAAATAAGCTGCTTTAAAAAATAAAATTATTAAATTTATTTTACTGAAAATTTTGGTGCATTTTATATAAATTGGACTCACAAGTGTAGATTAAATATGAAGGATAACTTATCTATTTTGTTTGATTGTTTTCTCACCGTAGTGCATTCATATATTTACATGTTTTAATACATCCACTTTTCCCTAGAGAGGTAAAGTGGGTATAGTTCTAAAATAAGCATATATTTTCCTAAAAAAAACATGTGTAAATTTCGCTTTTGAAATAAAAATGCTCTTAAACGAATGTATTTTGATTACATTAAAAAAAAAAAGAGCTAAAAGTATTTTTTTCATACTATTAAATTAAAAGTATTGATGCTCATGGCTATAAAAATTAGGTTTCACTTTGGATGTAGTATATTTTGTTGAGCCCCATACATCATCATTTCATCAAAAAACAAGAAAACTGTATTAGTTTTTGGCCAATTTGAAATATAAATGAGAGTGTAAAAATTAATATTGTTAGTAGTAATTTAAAGTGTTTTTACTATTTATAGCAGACTTGTATTTTTATTCAATTTAGTTTTTTTTTCAAATTGTTTTTTTTTTCCATGAAAAACCTGCAATATAAAGGCAGAAACTTAAGCGAAAACTTATCTATGTCTTTAAATATGCTCACTTTAAGTTGTAAAATTATGTTATTTGAATAATTTTTTAATTGTATATGTCTTTTATGCCCCATCTTTCCTCTTTTTAAAAAAGTAAAATTTAAAATAAATTTTTTTTAAGTGTCATAACTTCTATGTAGGGCAATAATCAAACAAGTTTTTATCACTATTTCATTATAAAACATAGAGCATTAGATACTTGCTAACACAGAAGTAAAAAATATATATATCCCTATTACACAACACTTTTAGATAAACCTGTAACCAAGCACCCACTTTATCCATTTCAAAAAACAATTCATAATAAATAGAATTTGTAAATTTATTTTTAAATATCTATGTAGATCTATTTTTTAGATGTTTCTCGACCAGTTTGAACGAAAGTTAATAGTCTTTGCAAAGTTGTAATGATATTAAAAGAAAGCTTATCAGCAGCTTTAACTAACATACTTAATAAGTTGATCATAAGTAGATAGTTTGTAAACATTAAACTTCTTATGAGTTTTTAAAATTCAAATAAAAATGCTTGCCACAATATCCCAGGAAATATAAAACAAATTGTACCGCTTTAAAAGGAGAAAATAGATGTTTTTTTTAACATGTTACCACTTTATTCCCATGTACCACCTGACCCTATTTAAAATCTTACATTAAAATAATTCTATTAAAGAAAATAAACATACAAAGCAATATTTTTCCATAGTTTGTTTTCTTATTTGGTGCTTGACAAATTGGCACAAATTATCGATGTCATCATCATAGCTGGGCTAAAAGAAAAATAAACAAATTCAGTTTTGTATATACCACTTTTTACGAATAACTTTTGTACAATAACAATAATTTACCCTAATTGTAAGTTCAGCTACTAAATATTTACTTCTTTCTTCTTGTATTCGAATATCCAAGTTTTTAGCAGAAAGGGAAGGTATACCAATAACTATATCTAAAATAATATTTTTGAAAATTCTTATCATAATGCATGATATTAACTGTAAAAAAGTTATAACAAAACAAAGACAACAAAATAAAGTTTTTTAAAAAAAAAGGAATAATATTTAAGAACTTTTCATCATTTAAAATATTTTTAAAATTTTTTTTATCATTAAATAGTTTTTATCACTAAATACTTTTTATTATTAATATCCTACATTAAATACTACTTTTAGACAAAACTTCAACCAATGCATACCTAATAGTACAGCTAACCCACGTATAAAGGCACGTACAGATTCAGATACGCTGAAAAATTGTGACAGAAGGCGATTTTTAGCAGTTACAACAATCAGATGAGCAGCTAGTGCAACATCCTGCAAAAAATAAATATTAAAAGATGATAAAAAAAAATTATAAGCACAATGGTATTACATTTCAATTCAATAATATTATTAAAAAAGCGAAAAAAAATCATTTAGCTTATATCAGTATTTTGAAAAAATGGTACATGCATTCTTAGTTTAATTTAGAACTTTCCTTTTAGACCAGTGTTTCCCAAAGTGGTATATATCGACCCGCAGGGGTCGACGACAACCTGCAAGGGGTCCATGTCAAGTGAAAAAAAAATTGGGGATCCATGAGATGAAAATGGGGATCAACAATAGTGAATCTCGTATAAGCAGGTCATAACTTTTAATTTTGTCATTTCATGAATGGAATAATCAACATACACTGATAGTACCTACTTACTTACATTATATTACCTAATAAAGACATATATTTATCCACATTCTACATAATTTATAAAAGTAGCTATGAAGTAAAAATTTTATTAAAACTTAAGTTATTAGGGTTATTTTTTGATATATGAAACTGAATTATTATAAACTAGCAGTTGCCTGCAGCTCCGCTTTTGTACGTTTTTGTTTTCTCTGCATGTAATGTTTTCTTTTGTAACAAAAAAGTATTTTTCCATAGTAAATTGTAGCCTAGCCTCTGTCAACTCTTTAGCTAGCTAGACCTCCAACTTTATCTGCGCACAAGATCGCGAAATTTGTTGCTTAGTTTTTACGTGAAAACGTAATAAACAAACCGACAATACACTACTACGGTTTTGTATATAAAATTAATTCTGCACTTATAATATTAGTAGCGGAGTACAGGTTTTATAGTGCACTATTTTATTCCATTTACATATTAATTAAATTAGTAATTAAATCAGTTTGAATTTAATTAATAAATGTATGAAATTAACATGTGTTTTGTTTCTTAAGTTTTTCCCACTACACTTCACTACATTTAGAATTTAAATCTTTCACAGTGAGTAACACTATACCAGGTGTCAAAAATACATTTGAAGTTGATGAATTTACAAGAAATCAATATCAGGTAAGCAGAGGGTCGATCCAAAACCAAAATACATGACAAGGGGTCTACGAGACAAACGAGTTCAGAAACCACTTTTTTTGTTGAACATGTTCATAAATACAATTTACATTAATAACAAATGAAATAAAACATATTTTATACTTAAAACAGTTTTGAAAATAGTAACTTTGTACTAATTACATTCAATAATATCATTCATTATTATACATGCTACAAGAAATTAATGCCAATCTGCATTCAAAACTAAAAATGAACTTACAGTAAAATTTTAAAAGAATATGACACTGACCTGACTAAAAGGAAAGTGAGAGGAGAAATAATACAGCCATATACCAAATAGCAATATATAACAATAGTAATAATATACCAAATTTCATATAACCGTGTTTGGAAGCTGTGATTAAAACTGAATTCAAATTCACACAATGTTCCGTGCTTTATTCCTATGTATAGAGATAATTTTTACTTAACCCACAATATATCTTAAACATAAAAATGTCCTTCAAAAATTAATTGACTGCTTAATTAATGTGAGTTTATGAACAATAAAATCTAGCACATAAATTGAAAGATGGCAAAATAAGAAATTCTAAAAAACAAAAAAATTAATAAACTTATAATATTTAATCTTTATGAAATTAGAGAAAAACACCCTGAATTTTTAATTGTGAAAAGTATTAAATTGATATTAAACAAAAACCTAGATGTTGCCATGATATTATGCATTAAAAATCTACCTGTAATAGAGTATCTTGAACATTTTGCCTCCCTTTTTGCAACAATTGGCTTAGTTTCCATTTATGCAGTTGACCAGGAAAATTTCTACTTTCCACTTCAAAAGTGCTGAAATGAAAGGAAAAGAAAGAGTAAATAAATATTAAACTTATAGCCTGTTAAAATTATTTTCATAATTTAACATCTAAAATAGCTATTACTACTTAGCACTATTATTAAATGCATTTCTTTAATTTAGAACTTGAGCAACTTTGCAGTGAGAACAGAAATACAGTGACGCTGTTTCAACAATATCATTATTGATATCAAATCTTTGATTTTAATATTAAAATGAGGCAGGAATTTTCAATGGATTTTAGGCAAAGTAACTAAATATGGGGAAACAATAAAGAACCTAAGAGAAATTTGATTTAGAACTTGAGCAACTTAGCACTGAGAACAAAATTACAGTAGTGTTGTTTTGACAATATTATGAATGATGTAATAATACAGTAGAAGATCTTACTACCCTTTCTAACGCAAACCTTTAAACCTGAGGCTTTGCATTTTATGGAATTGTGTGTTATATAGATCATTTCACCTATCTTTAAATTTACATACTAAATATGGCAATTATTGTCTGGATCAGATCCATCTTAAAATGGTTTTCTGATACAAATACTTAAAAACACAAAATATGCACTTAAATACATATTTATATTTTATAGAAGGAACTTGAAATTTTCTGCAGCATTAGAGCTAATAACAAACAAATTAATTAAATTTGGTTTGCTTAACTTTCGAAATGTTAACTTTTTAGAAAAAAAGTTAAACAAATAATGTAAAAGTCAATAGCTCTTGCTGTGTTACAGAAATTTTTAAACTGCAAGTTTTATTATTTACGCAAACAAAGCAATTACGGTTTATGGAAAAACGTGATTTACAGAATTGCATTAAATCTTTGATTTTAATATTAAAATGAAGCAAGAATTTGCAATTGATTTCAGGTTAAAGAACTAAATATGGGAAAATATGTATAAATAACCACCCGAGAGGAATTTAATTTAGAACTTGAGTAACTTAGGAGTGAGAACAAATATACAGTAGCGCTATTTTATCAATTTTAAATAATAGCAATCATGAAACATCAATGAAAGTTAACATACCCAGATTCTCTAATACTAAGCAACTGTCTTCTATTAAGCGGTTGAGGATCACCTTTTGCATCAAATGATACAATATTAGGTTCCTCAAATGTAGGTGCAACAAATAAGTCTCTAACAATGAGAGGTTTTGCCTGGAAATAAACATAAAGCAAAAATAATTTAATATTTTACCTTTAATTAAGAAGTTACAGCAATACTTCTGAATACAACACTAAAATTAAATTATAGGGCTATGAACCAATTTTATTTGCATTTTATTTTTAAGTGATTTTTCAGCTATAGAATAAAAAATTGATTCTAATCAAAATATTTGTGATGTAAACTTTGCTAAAAAAATTTAAGGTATAATTTTATTTTGACATTTGTCTGAATTAATAAGCTTTTAACTTAAAATTCTAAAATAAATCTGAGATTTTTAAGCAAGAGTGTGCATCATAGGGGTCTAGCGACCCTGGGCGAGACATTGAGTCATTTGATCAGGGTTCATAAAAATCGTGTTTAGTTTAAAAAATATATATTAAACATTAGTTTTTTTTAAAAAAATTCTTTTTGTAGTTAATGATTAAAATTCAAATAAAATGCATATAAAATACTTCATATAATTTTACTGCAATTAATGGCAATTCACAACCCCAGTGGAAAAATCATTATCATTAAATCATTACCTTTTCTATTGGGAAAGAGATAGAACTATAAGTGTAGTTCATAAAGATTTAAAGAAATTTCCTCAACGTGACAAGAAAGTGAAGGAGAAAAAAACCCAGTCTGGAATTTTTGGCGACCCTTTGCGGTCGACCAGTTTGCCTACTCCTAAGCATGCCCCCGCTTTTAAATTTTCAATGTGTACGCATTCATGTCTGAAAATAGCTGAGTTATAGTTTTATATTTGCATAAAGTATGCATAAATGGCAATATATTAATTATCCAATACTTGAGCCTATGGGTAAAATTGTTAAAAAGTTATCTGGTTACATACTGCTTTCCTGTTGCATAACATGAGTAAAAATAAGTTTTTTATTGCAGGACAGTTATTAGCTATAAGAAGAAAAAAAAAATGCCCAAACTAGGGTTAATATTCTATTTATTGATTTATTCTCTGTATAATACTGCTAAAAAGTTATTATAAAATGTTGAAAGAAATTGCTATATTACTTCCCCACCTTAATTAATAAAATTGCTAAATTGTTTTAGATAGGTAAATTGTTTTAGATAGATCAAAGATAAAGATCTACATTTGATACAGATCAGTCATAATTTTTATATGAGAAATGTATACTTGGCGATGTTAAAATATGGCTATCATCTTAATAAAAATTATTTTTGAATTTAGTAGGATTGCGATAGTTGTTTAGTTTCAGACAAGTGAAAGTGATACCAAAAAAAATTATTAGCAATGAAACAATAATGATTAGCCATGAATAAGAAATGCCAAAAAATAATGGAGGAATGGAAAACAAATCAGTTCACTAGCTACAAATAAAAAGTTTTTTTTAAAAAAAAAGCCAAAACTAATGCTCAAAAGGTTATGTCAAATTTAATTTAATGGTACCTCTTCCCTACGTTGTTCTATTAAAAACATAGATTTGAAAATTTAAATTTTCAGTTAGTAGCTAGTGGCTGGTAAACTCTAATAACTTAGTAGCCACTTTTTTCTCAAACCTAATGAGTCAGTGACCAATATCAATAGGTCCTTTTCCTTTTATAGTCACTTTTTGCAATTTTTTTTTTTTCATTGCTTGGATTAAATTTTGTTTTTAAAAAAAAAAAAATCATATAATAAATAATCTACAGCTATAAAAAAGTTAATTCAACAGCAAAAATAATGTAAATATGTGACAAAAATTTAATTTAACACACTGACTTTATTCAAAAATATTTTGGGAGGCAAAATACATTGAATACATACATTACAACTTTAAAATATGGAATTGTTAAAAAAAATCTCCTTACACACAAATCACAAATTGATAGATCCTGAAGAATCAAAATTTTGAATTCAGACATTCTACATTTGAATAAAAATTCTGTTTTCCAGAGCCTTTCTGCATTAATGTACTTTTATCATTAAACAATTTCTTTAAAAAAATGAGAAAAAGTGACTGGTTGCTTATTTAGTTTAAGTTACTACTTTCCTGGAGTTCTATACAAAACCATCAGGGTACTGAGGGTGTTAATTTAGGCATTTGCTTCTCCCTCAATAGAAATGGTTTTGTTTTATGGCTACCGAGGCCGGTACCCCCTGAAGACGTCGGCTTCGGTGGTCGTATTTTTATTTCCTTCGTTTCCCTTATTACTTCATCAGAAAAAGTATTATTGCAGTAAGAGTATTATTAAAAAAAGAAAGAGTACAGTATCAGATAAATACTACAGAATAAATCAGCTTTCACAACAAATTTTAAAAAAAAAAGTTAATAAAAAAGTTTTGTTTACTTTTCGGTTTCCATCACTTTCAGTAGTAATGACTGTCAGAGGTGGAGGTAAAACAATTGGAAATTCCTCCCAATGATATAAGATTTTTTCAGCAACCTGCATGTAACATTCATGATCAAACATATAAACTTCAATGAAGATAGAAAGTTAACATTTTTTAAAACAAAGGTCAGTTTATACATCATTAAATTATGAAATCAATGTATGCACATACATTTTCTTCAACGATTAGTTACATTCACCAAAAAATTTAGCTAAAAATATCTAACACTTTTTATATGCATACGAAACATATTTTTCCTAATATATTATTTTAGAGTTGGTTAAAATTAAAAGGCATCCCTTTTAGTGAAAAATTATACATGATAAATTAATACTAAAACAATTTGCTTGGTATAATTCGAAAATTAAACATTCAAATAAATATATAAAAAGAACTTTGATTGTAGTTTAAAAATTTTTAACCATGAATCTTATAACATTATGCTTAGTTATATTTAAATATAATTAAAGTTTATTATGGTAATGTAGTTTAATTCATTTTTTTTCTAAATATTTAACCAATATTAAATTATTAATATTTGCAATTGTTAATTAGATTGCATAGATTACAGGTTTTGTGGTTATTAATCTGTTAATATGTTTAAAAAAAAGAAGATATTTTTGATTAGATGGGCAGAAGAACTACTTTCATTTTTTTAAAACAAAATGGTAATTTATGTTTAAATATCATGGTTATAATTTTTTTAACCAATGGTCCCCCTCCTAAAAATTATAAATAAAATATAAAAAGAAGAAAAAAAATGAATTTGCCTGAATTTGCTAACAAAAAAGTAGCAAAAAATACTTAAATAAAATGCATAATTAACAAATGTCAAAAGAATATAAGAAAAAATTATACTTAACTTAATATTCATAAATAATAACAGAAATTTCATAAAACAAACTGACTGTTTAAAATATGATGACCATAATGTTTATGAAATTTACAATACATGAAAAACAATTTAAATTATAGCAATTAGTGAGAAAGCCTAATTTACATAATACATACTCGTTTGACAATTTGAACAACTTCAACAATTTCTGCTGGAGCCCCATCTAGATCCACAAGGAAGTTGAGTGGAGCTCTCTGAAATAATCATAGATTGCAATCAGCTTATAACATAATTATTATGTAATTAAAAATATGGTAAATATAATTTTAATTATTCCTGATCTTTTAATTACCGTATATTCCGGCGTATAATGCACACTTTTAATACAAAAAATAACATTGGAATTTACGGGTGCGCAGTATACACCGCATATTAAAAATTATAGATTAAAAAAATTTAAATATAGAAAAATACTTTTATTTTAAAGAAATAACATACCTTTACCTATATACTTTATTGATTTTCGTTATTACATAAATAGTAGTTCATTATATTCGTCTTCCGTTATTTCTTCAGGCACATCATCACAATCTGTTTCATCTTCATCATGTGTGTTACGCTCATCCATAAATAAACAGTCATCTTCTGATCCATCCAGATTATTTGAAATGCTGCATTTTTTGAATGATTTTCTAACCATCTCAGGCTTAATTTCATCCCATGATTTTAATATCCATTCGCACACTGTTTCCAAACTTGCATGACGCATAAGTCCTCCTTTCATAAAGGTTTTCTCGCCCTCCAACATCCAAGTGTTCCACTGTTTTTTTCAATTGGCTTTAAATGGTTTGTTAAAGCAGACGTCCAATGGCTGAACTAATGGTGTCAATCTGCCCGGAATAACTGCCATATCGGTGTTACATTCTTTCAACAATTTTTTTGTATTATCTGTAAGGTGGGACCTAAACATGCCCCATACTAAAAGGCTTTCTGGTTTTCTTACGCAACCAGGACAGTTTTGCCAGAAATTTTTTACCCACAAAATTTTAAAAAAGTATTAGAAATTACAGGAGCGCGTTATACGCCGGGGCACATTATGCGCCGCAATATACGGTAGGTTTCAGGTAAAAATATTAAGATATAAAAACACTTTTTAATAAAACTATTGTTTTTACCTTCAGAATTTTCCTTGAAATCACCATTTTCAATATTCAGAAAAAAATAATGCAATGGATATATGATAAAAATGTGATTGGCTGCATGGCAAACTATAGTGTTATGACTTAATTAAAACTATTTTTCTAATCATTTTTTCTTTCAATTTTCAATAAGTTAATGAGGAATGTTTTGCCGTCCTGGCAAAAACAGATTTTTGCCAAAGCAAATTGGCAAAAACCTATATTTTCCAAGATGAGAGGACAAAAACACATTTTTGGTACAAAATTATTCCTAAAATTGAAATATATACTATAAATATAAATAATTACAAAAAAGTTAACAAAATTATTATTCCATAATTAAATCATAATGTAATAATATATCATTTTAGTAGTTTAAAACATTATTGATTGGAAAATTTGCGATTATTCTCTTTTTTCCAGTGAAATGAACTTATTTTAAATTAATATAACTATAATTTAAAGCATATAATATCTATCAAGATATGTAGTTAATTATTGTACAAATAATAATTTCTTCTAATTGTTATTATACAAATAATAATATTTATTTATTTGTAAAAAAACATTTATTTAAGGATTCCAAAATGAAAAGAGGTCAAAAACTTTCAATGTTTTAAAAATTATTGCTTTTACATTAATTATTAATGTGTTAAAAATAATTTTTTTCATGCAACATATCAAAATTATTATTCCTTATGATTGATTTACATTTGTTTCAAGTATTTTGTAATAATATTTAATCAGCAATTTAGATAATTTGGTTTTTGCCGGTTTTTACCAGGTTTTTGCCATTGTCCTGGCAAAATCCCCTTTTTGCCGGCAAAAACTCAAACCCTGCTTTAAATGTGCATGTTAATTAGATGGAATGGAAGAATTTATTGCGTGCTCACAATCACAGATCATTTGTCTCTCATTTTAAAAAATCTAAGAGACTTCCTTCTTTTCTTTTTAAAATGCTTTAATTTTTAAAACAATTAAATTAGTTAAAATGGTAAGTATATTACATTTCAAATAAAAATTTTGTAATCTATGAAGCTTAAAATTTTCTGCTTTTAGACCTAGAAATTTCTGTGTGCTAAGGACCAGTAGTTTTAAAAATCTAGCGAAATCACTGTATAAATTCTATATTTATTCTATATTAATTCTACATGGAGTATGAAGAGTTTGTGACAATACAATGCTAAACTATATTTTTCAATTGTTTAAGCAATAAAATATTTCTCTATAGATTCCAATCAATCCACATACAAGTTATAGCATGTCAAAATGTAAGAGGGAACAAAAAAAATCAGTCATAATGCACCCTCAACCATGCATAATCCTTAATCACATGAAAAAATTAGCACATCAGCAGATTTATGAGACAAAATACAAAACTCTATAATGACTATTGTTTGATTTTTATGTTACTTTCAACATCTTCATTTTCCATATTATTGAGCTGCCTAAAAACGTTTTTAATGGATTTAAAAACCAATAAAACTTGCTGATTTCCTCTGGATTATACCTTAACTTAACCTTATTCGAGGAGAAAAATTAGAATTAAAGATCTAATTTAACATAGTACTACTATCAAATATTTCCCATTATCAGACCTGTATAATATACACAAAAGCGTGAGCGCCATTCACAGAAAATTTGTCACCATCGTGCAGAGTTGGGTTTTTGATGGCAAAAACTGGTTATTGACATGACACATCAAAAACATGCTTAAAAGTGTCGAAATCGGGACAAGTTGCTTTTTTGTTATTGGGGGCACTTTATAGGATGTTAAATCATGCACAATACTTGCATTATATACTAGTATTATTACGATTTAGATTATTATAAAAAATATAGCCAAAATTATTGAAACTATTAATTGGTTTTCCTAAAAATATGGTACTTTCAAGTATCTAAGATCAATTTTATTTGTTATATTATAACTATTCAGTTTATAATACAGATACTATGAGTTGTTAAATATTATCAAACTTAAATATTGATTTTAATTCTTTTATGCCTCCATTTATGCAAATTTTTTAGATTAAATAAAATTAAAGTGGTTGCCAAAAATTATCTGATCTCAATTTTTTTTATTCTTAATATTTTACTTAGATGGAGGGGGCAGAATATGTCCAATTGTGCAAACCAGGTTTAGTAATTGAAATTCAGGCAATCCTAGGGAAATGTTCGATTCAAAAAATTTCAACAAAATTTTCTATTGTTGAAAAATGAGTCACTTTGCAAAATTTTTCCTTTTTAAAAAAACACTCAAAGTCAACTTGTGTATTTATTAGTTTTAATTTAAGTTTATAAGTGTAACCTTAAATTTAATTTAATAAATTATTACAATTTCAATATATTTTGATTTTGAATATTTTAAACACATATGCTCGTTTATTCAAGAATTGTGTAAAATCAAATAAATTTCTTTTCTTTTATTAATAAAACTTTTTAATGATATACTATAAACCTTACTTTTATTTAAAAATATTTTTAAAAAGTTATTGCATTAAAAAAATAGAGAATATGCTGAAATTTTTTGAAGAAATATCGATTTATAAAAAATTTTGTTTAGAGAACAGATTTCAAGAATTGAGTAAAATCAAATCAATTTCTTTTCCTTTATTAATAAAACTTTTTAATGATATATAAACCTTACTTTCATTTAAAAATATTTTGATTATTGTATTAAAAAAAGAGAGAATATGCTGAAATTTTTTGAAGAAATATTGATTTATAAAAAATTTTGTTTAGAGAACGGATTGGATTAATTTATTGGATAAATTGTTATTTTACGCATTTTTATGCATAATTATTTAATATTCTCCACTCCAAAATTTGAGTATTTGACCGTAATTCTCATCAAAAAAAAAAAAAGAAAGAAAAAGAGTTTAATATCAAAATAATTCAAAAACATAACTGATTAATCAGTTATAATTTTATATGAATGTTTATTTATAAATATTTCATATTTATAATAGCTAATAATTATCCTCATACGTAAATTTTGGGCTCTTCAACAATTGTCAAAAAGGATTTTTTGACATGATGGATAAAACCATGGTTAAAACCGGATTAAACTGTCAATTGTCAAAAACTTGCCAAGAATACAATCTTGCAAAATTTTTTACTATTACTAAAAAAGAAAATAATAATCTGCTTCAAGGAAAGATTGCCTTTTTCAAATTACCGTAAAAAAAGTTTTGTTTTTAGATTTTTTCCTATCAATGCAAATGCAATTTAAAATTACATCCACATGATTTAAATTCATGCCATATAATTCCTATTTACACAATCGAAGATTCGAGTATCATGTTTTGTATTTTCATGATTTCAGACAAAATATTAAGTTTCATATTCACACAATTTAAAAGCCACTGTTATGATTCATTCTTAAGTGAATGAAAAATTATACATTAGAGTTCATAATCACACAATTTTAAATTAAAACATAAAGATTTGTATTCATGCCATTTTAAAATCAAGTATCGAGATTTGTATTATAATGATTTTAAAATTAAACATTGAGATTCATATTTATGTGATTTTAAAATTAAATGTCAAGATTCGTATTCAGGTAATTTAAAAATCACACATTGAGATTCATATTCACAAAATTTAAATAAATAAATAAAATCTCACATCAATATTCTTATTAAAACGTTGATAACATCATATAGATAAATATTTTCCACATAAACTTTTTTCTTGCCTAAATTCAGGTATTTTTTCAATTATTTAAAAAGTGCTTTTGCACATAACATTTTTGGATTTCTATTTTCAGATTTTTAACCTAATTCATCCTTATGGTATGAATCAATATAGAGTTCTAAATAATTGAACATTTTTTAAAAAATCAGGTTATTTTCAAATGAATTTCATCAAACTGATGTGGTAACGAAAGGATTAAAACTGGTAATTATAAGAATTAATCAATGCATGCAGAAAGTTTTTTAATTGAGATGTGTTGGCAGAATTTTTTCATTTTATCTAACTCTGCCCATTATCCATGTTTGAGTTAAAGAGAGTCCATTGTATGGGTGTGTGTTAATGTTATAATATAAATACCATGCATTATAATATAAATATATGCATTGAATCAAAAGAAAACATTCTCCATCTTAAAAAAAAAATTCTGACAACTTGATATTTCAAAAAAATTATGCAATTAATTTTAAAAATAAATTGATACAACCTTCCAAAAATATTATTTATACCGATATAAAATATGCACAATATACTGTTAGGAGATTGGTGCCTTTTTGAAAACAGCAATTCTAAAAATATTCATTTTTAGCTAAGAAAAGTCCCTTAATTATATAATTCATAGAAACACTTGAACGCTATGTTCGTATGTTGTAAAATACATAACGTTAATTCAAAGCTGGAAAAGAATACTAATTAAGCAAGGAAAAGATAATCAAAAAAAATTAAACTATAATTTTTATCTGTATGTAATAATGCGCATATATTTTTATTACGAAAAGTAACACCATTTCTAAAGTTTGAATCATAGCTTTCAAAATGTCTTAAATTTGTGAAAAATTTTCTTGTGAAATTATACGGTAAGGAAATTTTATTCTCACAGAAATACAATGTAAGTATAACAGAGTGTGGTAACTGTTTAAAAATGAAAAAACACAACAACTAGTATAACCTACCTGTGGCTCAATAACTTCAATTTCCATATTTCATTGATAGAATGAACTTTTCAATCCTTTGGCATTGCAATGCATACATTGCTTTTAACGAAGTATTGTGATCCTACAACAGATAATGAATCAATTGCTTTTTTTAAAAACTTTGTAAGAAAGTGGGAGAAAATACGTTTAAATATATTAGTTAACTAATATTATTAGAATGATCGAATAAGGATTTACAATAATATTTAATCGAGCAATGTAATAATCTTACGTACATGTCAAAAAAAATCTTATTAGTGTCTTTAATTTCACAACGCAAAATAAATAATAATGCAGACAACAGTGATTTCTATTTTTGGAACGATAAATAAAAATGGTAGCACATCATCGTGGGTGAAACCATTAATTCCGATATTTCATTTCTTTACTTAAAATAATCCGCAATCACATTATTTGCGATCGCATTTATTGATAAAATTGAAATCTCCAAAATGCAAAACATTTGCTAAATAACTCTATTATTGAAAAACCAAAACCCAACCAATCTGAGAGGTTTGAGAGGAGTTGAGATGAAACTGAAAAAAAATCTCCAATATTACTTAATAAATAACCGTTTACTACGTTTTCTGTTTTCTATTTTTCATTAGCACATTAAAATGATTGGTTATGTTGAATTGTTTGAACTTTTTGAGTTTTTAATGATCACTTTCTCTACACTGCTTGAGATTGAAGTAACAAAAATAAATGCAAAAGAACTGAAGCTAAATGAAGAAATACTGTTCTCGATATCTCGCGTTTTGTTACGTCGACTTTTTCTGCTTTTTCTTAGAATGAATAAAACTGTACATGTTTTAGAAATTTTAAAATAATTCATTTTTATATATTATTATTGCACAAACCTCCTATAAAATAAGTGATCTTCAATCCTCAAGTTCTAAAAGTCCTTCAAGTAAGCAAATTTGTATAAATAACCATAGGCGCCATGTTTTATTTATTTGGAAGAATCGAATTTCTCAGAATAACTTGATAGTAGTTAAAATTGTGTATCTAATGAAGATAAATGAGGGCATTACTCAACAGTCATATAATGTTTTACTTCTTAATTTTGATTGCCCTTTTATCTTATTCACAGAACAGACTAAAACATTTTAAACAAGTTTATTTAAATTAATACTAATCAAGTTTCAAAACAGTATCTTAAGCATTTAAAAGATGTATGATTTTGATTTTATATTTTCAAGTTGTAGTTTTCTAAGTGAATTAAAGGGAGGATTAAAATATTTCATAAGAGTCAATGATGGGACTTTTTCTGTAATTTTTTCCTCAAGCAGATTTGTTTCCAGATTGTTATTACCATAAATTAGTGAACTGACCAATAGCATATTTTTACTTACTTTAAATAGCTTAAAGAGATAGTTTTTATAATTAAGTACAAGCAGCCTCTGTAAGCTATGTGTAGGGAATTTAATTTTAAATGATTAATTGGTTCTTTCAAAATGCATAACATGTAAAAATAGCTGAATATATGATAACTGTGAAAAAATTTGTTAACAACAGAGAAGATAAACAGCTGGACAAGTTTTAAGAACTTTTTAAAAACATCACAGGGTTGATTGCATCCTGGGTGTACCCTGGAATTCTGGGTTTTTCATATCATCCTTTCTGGTCTAGAAACAGGGCATCTGATTTTTCAATGCCTCTCAAGACCATTAATTTGCAAACTTTTGCTAATCAAAATCTTATAATCGAAATTTTCACTAAGTTTCACAATCTATAATTTATATTTTTAAACTTATGCTTAGACGTTTGTGTGTATATGATTCTTCTGCCAATTGGAAGAGATCAACCAATTTGAATCTTTTGGTTTGACAGATTTTTGGATTTATGGAATTGTTCGTATCCACTAATATCGCGATTCATATTCACACAATTTTAATAACGAACAACAATTTCCGTATTTACCAGATTTAAGAGTTACATCTGTCCGTTCGTATTCAGGTGGTTTAAAAATCCAAAATCGCAATTTATATTTACGCATTTCTTAAGTCAATATTGTGATTTGTATTTGCGCATTTTTGAAATCTAATTTTGAGAAAAATCTGTTTTTACTACCTCCCCTAGACTTGGGTAACAGCCTGGATGCAGAATATCTCCCAATTGCGCTAATTAGTTGATGGGAATTCAGGCTGCCCTGGGAAAATTTTTGGTCCAAAATTTTCCCAAACTAGACTTTAATAAGACCATATTCAACATAATCCAGACTTTAAAAAGACCATATTCATCCAAAAAAGAGCATTGTTTTTCACAAACATTTGTAGGGTTTTCAATAAACCCAAAATAAAGTAATCAAATAAATTTTCAGAATTATAAACAAGTTAAATCATTTAAGATAACTTATTTGTAAAGAGAAATAGTTACTTTCCTCAGTTAAATAACCATGATTCCCGAATTGTGGAGTGTTGTAATAATGTATTATAGTAATGAGATTTGAAAAACAATATTGAAATGACAGAAAAAGGCAATAAGTAACTATAATTTCCGAAATGCGATTAGAAATTAATGTGGAGTTGTGGTAAAATCAAGCATATTAAGTAGTAGTTTCAAAAGTGCGAAATTCGCTATTCATAACATTGTATCACTTAAATTGGAATTGTGAAAAACCACACGGAAATACTTGAAACTCAACAAACAGCTGTTAAGAAATGATCCATGTACTCGGATTTATGATACAATCAATGTGAATTAAACTCTTCAAAAAATGATAACTCAAATTCAAAATAACGTATTAATAATAACCATGTGAAAAGGATAAAAAAAAACTATCATTTAATGATGGAAAATCATATTGAAACATCAGTAATAAAACTTATCCAAAAGTGATAACACAAATTCGAAATTTGCATTTTATAATAACATTATATTAAAAATATTGAAATTAAGAATAATCATCTGAAAAAGGCCCAGACTTTTGGAAAAACTACCTAACAACATGAAATCATCATGAATCAAACTTTTAAAAAAGTGATGGCTCAAATTCGATTTTGAAAAACCATTGAGAAGCAGCCAAAAAAAAAATTTGTAGCAGTAAAAAAGCAATTAGAAAATCATGTGGATTTACAAAAAAAATAAACTATGCAAATAGACTTTTATATATCTAAATCTGAGTGGTTAATCAGATTCAAAGGGCATCCAGAGCTGAAATTTAAATGACATAAAAAAAATTCTGGACGGATCAAAGGTGGCTCACTTAAAGAACACTGTTCTTATCACATATGCAAGTTTATTATTAAATTGTGTAAATCAAATTGTTTTTTTCCCTATGTTAAAGAAAAAAATATCAAGGAATATGACAAACTAAACTCTAAAAATATTTTGAAAAGTTAATGTAACTATAAAAAAAAAATTAAGTGCAATAATTTGTGAGGAAATTTTCGAATAAAAAGAACTATGTTTAGGGTAACTATTAGGCTCTTTGAATTTTTTTAGCACCTTTTATATGGCTGTGAGTTTTTAAAAACAAAAAAAATGCATTACAGAATGAAAAAAATATAACTTGTAGCTAACTCATGACAAGCCTTAAATATTTTCTCAAAGTTTTTCCTAGCACAGAAATAACAGGGCAAAGAGGTTCTGATGTGGAAATGGCCGGAAATTTTTTTTAAATTTAACTTGGTTCTAAATTTGTAGAGTATAAGAAAAAAAGGCATGTTGAAATTTTTAGTTTATAAAAAATAAAGGCATGCTGAAAGACAATTACTATGCAGAAATTTTTTTCAAAAAAAGTAAACTAAAAAAAAAAGATTGATTGATGAACAAATTGAAAGCTTTTTTTTTTTTGTATAATTTAAGCTGAAAATTATAAGAAATTGAACATTTAAAGGTACATTTAAAAAAAAGAAACTTATTTATTTAAAAAATAGTTTCAAAACTTAAAATCTATTAGTATAAGTCCCTCCTTCCTAAAAGAAAGAGAAACTTATAAAAATTTAGCCAGTTGAGAATAATCCTAACTAAATAAATATTTGTAATAATAATCAGAATTGAACGTATAATTTCACCGTTGTGTAATTATTATTTATACAATTCATTTTTTTAATGGAATATGAATAGAAAGACGATCTTTTTAAGAGATAGCGGCTTATTTTTACAAAGAGGGCACATCATAAGGCTGGCAGGGTAGGCCGCTCTTCTAAAAACGCTTAGAATAATCACTGCTGAATTACATATCTATCTTAGTGATTTTTGTAATCCTTAACTGAATAAATTAAGTGCTCTAGTGAATAAAAATTTATAACTTAAACACCTTCAATGTGCAGTAATTTTCCTCAGTAATATAAAATACTGTAAAAGTAACTTTTGTTTTAAACCTTAATTTGATTGTATATTTCTCCCATTTGTAATCTGCCATGTTTTTAATTCTTCTCTATTGTACTTTTAGGTTTTGAACTTAACTTTTCATGATGTCCCAGTGGTAAGAATTGTATTTTAAATATCTATAAATATTTTTATATGATTAAATGCTGTTTAAATCACTTTTGTTACTTTGACCACGTTAACTTTTCATTTTAGGTTGGTTACGCAGGCACAGTAAGTTTAAATTAAATTTAATTATTCTAAAAAAAAAGACAAGGTGTTTTTTTTTTTAATTAAAATAAATATTTTTTATAGTTCGTGAATTAGCTTATTGTTATTCGAAAATTGTGATAAAGCAGCCTTATAACATTATTTGTGAATTTTTAAATTAAGCAGTATTTACTATTCAGTTTTTACTTTCAGTGATACATTTGTTAGTCTACCTTTAAGTAAAGTTTTATTTTAACTTTAATCAGTATTATGAATTGTTTATATATGAAAAAGAATATTGTGTCTCTTTGTGAGAGATAACCAGATTTTAAGCTTTTAAGGATAATTATTTTAATTGGTCGAATTATTACTGAATCAATTATTTTAAAAAAATTCGTTATCATAAAAAAATTTTGGTGTATATCTTTAAAATAGGGATCTTTTGTTTATTAAAAAAAAGATTCAGAAATTTGAAGATTTGTGTACTACTGAGGATTTCTAGTTTTCAAAATCTAGCAGTATCACTGAATATAGCTCGATAATTTATTCTTCTTCCTTCAACTGTTAACTCCAAAGTTCAAATAAAATACAGTAGGGAACCGATTATCCGGAACGATCGGGACCATCGCTATTCCGGATAACTGATTTTTCCGGTTTTCTGAATCGCTACAAAAAGCCGTTTTCTTTATTGTTAAACCCAACTAAAAAAAAAAAATTTTTTGGAATAATCTTAAAAAGAAAAAACGATGGAGTAATACACTAATGATTATTTCCAAAATGATGGTAAGGTAAACATCTTTCAAAAAACGAAAGAAAAATCCTAAAATCTTATGAGGAAAAAAAATTTTTTTTTTTTTTAAAAAAAATGGCGGGAAAATGTATCGAATTTCGTTCCGGTTTTTTGGTTTTCCGGTTTTCTGATTTCCGGATAACGGGTTCTGTACTGTATTATTACTTTTTTTTCGCAAAAAAAAAACCCTCTTTATTTTATATCTTTTTGGCAATAGAATATTACCAAAATAATGCATATTTTTACAAACTTGCTCAAACTGAACAATTAAAAAGGTAGGTTTTTAAATTTCCAATACCCTGTCAAGTTTTTTTATTTATTATTATTCACTGAATTATTAAGGAAAAAAATGTCCTTTTAAATTTAGTTGTACATAGTTTTTATTATCATTAGCATGACAGCCCATGGTAAGCCAAACATTTAAAGAGATTTCCATGCAACCATATGGATGGCAATGGTTCTCCAGTTCTCAACTTTTAGGATTCCATAATTGCAGCTTACGGCTTTATTTTTTATTTAATCTTCCTACAATAATGTTTTTGTTAAATTCAAACTGAAAGTACATGTGTATCTTATATATCTTTTCAATTGTTATCTCTACTATGCAAATTTAATTTGTAAATTACCAGCACTTCTTTTAGCATAGTTAAATTGATGAAAAAAAAAGTCTAATGATAGACTACATTTTTAATAAAGTGTGTTTTCTTTTTTAAAAGGTCTTATGGTCAGCCAGTTAGACCACCCATGCCTGCTGAAATCCCAAAAGCCTGGTTAAAAGCTAATGAAGCTCTCCAGGCTGTTAGACCAAGTGCAACAACTACGGAAGTAACTTCCACTAATACTGAACCTCAGGTTAATCCCATAAATCAATTTGCTCCTATGAGATGGCCTAACCCTACTATGTACACAGCATATCCTGGGTATGTTTATATTCGTGTAGTATGATTATATTGTTTCCAAATGCAGTTGTTACTGTTCCAACTTTAATGCAATAAATTGATTAGTACCATTACTTTTAATGTATCTTTTTTATTATTAATTTTAAAATAATACTAAGTTAACACATTAATTCAGTTTGCATATTTTATTTTATTTAAAATCTCATTTGCAATTGTTTGTTAAGATTTCATATTATTGAGATTGTGAAATTTTATTTTTTATGCTGCTTTACTGAACATAGCTAAAACTAAACTCAGTGGCTCGGTAGCACGTAGAGAGCCAAGGACTATGCCCATCTGTTTTCTTGACTTGGGCTCTGAGGTGCAGAAGCAGATGTTTTGATTGGGTGGTCAGCCAGACACGAAACCCCCTGTGTTTAGTCTCCAAGCATGCTTGGTACTCATTATATCAACCCACTGAAGGGGTGAAAGGCTGACTAAATGTAGCTAGTGTGGGAAAATATTTCTGAAATTAGTGCCATTTCAGTATTTATATTAAACATTATGTATAATGTTCTATTTGAGATATTAGTTGTTATACCAAACAGTGGTCTGTTCAGGACAAATTTACTACCTTTTAGCGGTACCTTCACATATTTAACTTTAGGAAAAACGGTAGTTTCACAAACTACTTTTTCTTCAAATTTTATTTTTGTATCCCGTAACAAACAATAAATCTATATTTTTGTGTTGATTTTTTAATATAATTTTTAATTTTCACAAATTATGTCTAAATTTTCACAAAATAGGTACCTCTCAGAAAAACACCCCTGCCAAATAATGGGTGCAATTTTTTAGATTTTTAATGTGTCAGTTTTCATCATGGTTAAAGCCATCAAAACTGACACATTTCTAAAAATATACTATATATTTCCTTTTTCAAAAAGAAAAGAAAATTCAGTTCATTACTTTCATTGTTTTTATTTATCTAACTAATTTTTCAGGTATCAAGGATATCCTCCTAATTATCCCTTTTATAATTATGTGAGTATAAAGTTTTATCTTTTATTAAATCTTTTACTATGAAACCTAATTTTAGTGTGATTTTATCTACATTTTTGTATATTCATTGCTTTTGGAGTTATTTTTGTTTATTCTGAATTTCTTTTATACTTTTTTATTAGAATAATGGATTTGCTTGGGTATGTATTTTAATTTTTAGTGTTATGTTTTGCCAAGATTTTTTTTTTCTTAATTATCATCCACTACTAATAAAAACAAAAATTAAGAAACATAAAATTATATACCCTATATAGTGTATAAGTTGACTTTTCAAACCCCTAAAATTTCACTAAGATCATTCGATTGACTTATACACCAGTAAAAATCAGCCATTTGTTTATCGTGAAACATCAAAGCATTACAAACAATGAGATAGACATAAGTGTTACTAATGCGTAATAAAACGAGACTCATTTATAAAAATCTGCTACAACAAAAAAAAATTTAGTTTATTTTTATTCAGATGTCCCTTTTTAAATTAATTAAAAAATATTTTTACTATCTTTGATGAATTAATTGTTTATTACTATTCAAAATTATAAGTAAATGTAATACATAACATTTCAAGTTCATATAATGTGAATCATAACTGAAAAATAGTGCAAGTTTTTATATTTTCGTAATTATAAAATTTCCTACCTGTGAAATATTTAGTACATTTTCCAACAATTATCATCAAATTTATGTTTCGTAAAATCTACTGTATTTTTTCCTATCCGTAACAGCAGCTATAACTCTGTATTGATTACCCTCCTTCAAAAACTTTTTTTTAATATGTTATATACAATTATGAATTTTCTCTCATCAAATTTTTTTACGTAAAATTTTTTTTTATTAAAACATTACTTTAAATTAGGGCCAGGGAAAAAATTAGGATTATTTATTCAAGAGTATTTCACAAAATGACACAAGGAAAACTTTTAAAACATACCATAAAGCTATAAATTTACTATGTTGAATTCAATAACATTACAGTGTTGTGATACAAACCTTACTCTGCAATAGATTCTATGTCATCCTCATTTGCTGTCTTTCACAGGAAATTGTTAATTTTAGAACTTCTCATATTTGATTCTTTTCTGCGATTATGCATCAGTGTACACAGTAATTGGCAATAGAATCTGCATTTGTGTTAAAATATAAGTTAAGGTGTTAAAATACAAGGAGAGTTCTTTGAAAAAAATTTTCACATTTCCATATATAACAACAATGTAATGTGAGAAACAAGACATTGATGTATACTAAATTTATTTTTGTAAAGCACAATAAAAATATTAATCCAGCCTAACACAGTACAATAGTATATCCTAAAACAATCCAATCCAGCATAATACACCCCTTTGAAATTCATTCAAATGAGTGAAAGTACTTAAGTTTTGAGGTTGATTTCAGTTTTAAAATTTAAGCTTGAAAATATTTTACGTTACTCTCACCTTGCATTTAAACATTTAAAAAAACTCATCTAAAAACTTGCATTTATTTATATCAATTAGATATTTATATCACTTGATGTGAGTTAAAGTTTTTTAGATTATGTTTATTGTATTACTATGCTTGAAGAAAGTTAAAAGAATGTGAAGTTTACAAAAAAGCTGGAAGTAGTTTGTTTTTGTAATTGCCAGAAAAGCAATGTCTGGGCATCAACAATAAGGTTGCACTTAAGTTCATTATTTATTTGTTAATAATATTAGCTTTTTATGTTCTGCTATATTGTGTTTTTGTAAAAAAAAAGTTTATACGATTTGTGAGTAGCTAATTTATTCCGTGTATGAGATATACTAGATTTATTCCACCCATAGCACTGTTAGTACATAATACGCTATAATTTTCTTAAAATACTCCTAAAATGTGATGTGGCGTGACCTCTGACGATCAGGTTTTACCATATGAAATACAAGTGCTTAATATAAGGGAATGAATTTTTAATCATTAAAAATTAATTTATGAAATATTAATTAGAAGAAAATTAAAATTTATATTCATGTAAATAATAATGATAATAAATTGATTTCCTACAGACTTTCTCTCAGAAATCTCAAAAATTATCATTTTTGACTTTATCTGTGCATAAATATATTCTTGGAATCATAAAATACAGTTTTTGAAACTCATTAATTAAATATTGTTGGAAATTTCACTTTCACAACTTAGAAGGATTCCACTTGTTTCCTTTTTGTAGTTTCCTATTATGGGTTTAATACACCCCATGCAGGTTAAAACATAACTATACAATTTTAATATTTGGCACCTCAATTAAGCTAAAATTAAATTACAGTTGCCGTAATAGGGGGGGGGCTAATTGTAATAATTATGTGTCGAATGTTTAATTATAAATGTAATGAAAGTTTCTATAAAAGCTCTTGTTTAGTCAGATTTTCAATTGCTTTATCACTTTTAACATTTTTTTTTCTAGAACTTCAACCCCTATGTTATAAATAGCAATCCATTTTATATGAATCCAATGCCTGCTACCAGTGATAATTTTCAACCGCAAATTCCTACTATTCCTCAAGTTGAAGAACCAGAATCAAATAATAGTCAGTCTAATGAGCCAGTTGTAACTTCTGCTGCCAATAGACCAAATCCTGAGTCTGAAGTGGTTACGATTAACTCTTCATCCCCGTCATCATCACCTGAAGGCGTAGGATTTTCACGTGAGTTTTTGTTTAATAACTAATTCTAATAATAATAACTAATTCTGACAGTTCAAATTTAGATTATATGTCAGCATATTTTTACAAATTTTCTCACCTGTATAATCTTTCCTGTGATCATTTTTTCCCCCTCTTTTAAATTTACAGGTAAATTGAGTTTTGTAATGTACATGCCAAACAGAAATTATTTTGACATTTTTTCCTTTTTTTATAGTATTAAAAATCTGTTAGAAAATGCAATCAATTATGGTTGTTTGATTTTGCAGTAATATTCTTCTTTAGAAGATTTTTTGAAAATGAGATGGTCTAGTGTCTTTAAAAAAACTGGGTTAATCTCAACACATATTAAGTGTTTTAAAAACAAATGAGAAGTTGAATTAAAGAATGGATTGTTTAATAGGTGAAGATCTCTCAAAATATAAAGGCTGCAATTCTAAAACATATTTTCTGTTGACAAGGAAGAATTTATTTACAAAAAAAAATAATCAAAAAAAACATTTTCTACTCCCCCCCCCTTTTTTTTTTTCTTTTTTTCTTTTTCTTGTGTAAATAAAGTCTGCAGTGTTGTTGCAGGTGACTATTTGCAACTATTGTCAGCCTGAGGCGACTAAAAAAACTTTTTGTTCTGAAAGGACTAAAACTGCAACTATTTTCAGGAAAAGGAGATTATAGCGCTGTTTTTTAGCATAAATTGGGTTTCACAACCTGTGAAATCTTCTGAATATCTTTATTTTTATCCACTTTCATGCCTGTAATATCTAATTGTTTCTACATTTAATGTTTTTATTATGTTATGTTAACATTTAATGTTTAATTATGTTTTTATTTATTTAGAAGCTCCAGGAAGTGGGGGCATCAAATTTTCTCTCCCTAAGAAGAAAATACAGAATAATAATTTTCAGAATTCCTTTAATTCGCCACAAGGAAAAATGAATAATTTCCAAAATTTCAATAATCACTCTCCTAAGAAAATAGAAGCTAAACTCCCTGAGCAACCTAACATTTTGCATCAGAAATCGTAAGTATCTCATAATCATTTTTTTACATGGCAATTTGAAAAATGTAATATCTGTGTGTGTTCTATTAACTTATTTGCCAATCAAGCAGTTTTATACTTTGAATTGCTCAAATAATTTAGAGCTTATTACTTTCCCTGATTGACTCTTTCTAATCATAATTCATGTTTGTGTAGGTTATTTATAAACAATAAGTATTTTGTATTAATCAATTATTTCAAGATGTGTTATGTAATTTTACTTATATGTTAGTGTGCTGAAAAAGCTCTATCTGCTTTTTTTTGGCATCCAGCTTATCGTTAGAATTTCTACAAATATTTTTCATACTGAATACTGTTTCCCTTTTAAGTAATATCGGAGAAAACTGATTTGCTTTGCTGGAAGGTAACTCTTTATCAGTCCAAAGGTTAAATTTTATATTCAAAGTTACTGTGTATTGCTATATAAGTATATAAAGTATAATCTTTGTAAATATTTATGTTTTCAGTGTGTCTGAAATGCCGAATGATCAATGGCCACCATCCTTGAAGTAAGATTTTCAAATTGCTATTTCTAATATATTAATTTTGCTTTTTAAAATAAAAAGCAAAATCCATATAAATTAAGTCTTATTAAAAATTCAGCATATATTTTCAATTTCGACCATAGAGTAGAGTAAGCAAATCAGTAGTTTTATGCCAAAATCATTAATGTCATTAAAATGATTGAAAAATTAAGGCATTGAAGAAAAAGTGAAAAAATGTGCTTGATAATTTAAATTTGATAGCTGAGGAATAAAACTTGAGAATTGATAGTTACAAACCAGGGCATTATGCTTTTCCGAGAGCTTTCATTTTGAAGGGTTGTCATTATCACTGGGAAAACGTCATTGACATTACTATCTAGATTGGTAACGTTAACCTTATAAGTGTAGCATTAGTGATAGGGCTGTTTATACCCACGAGAGCAAAAGGCAAGATATAGAACAAAAGATATGGGAGTTCGAGGTTCGACTGTGGTTTATGTATCTTAATAAAAATTCATATTAATAATGCTTAATGTAGTAATATACTGACAAGTAGTGTTCTAGTTCAAGAACAGGTAGGTAATTTATAAATTTGAAAAATAATAGGGGAGAGGGGGGCACATGTGAACAAATTTTTTTATTTCTTCATTTTTCGAAAAATATCATCAATTTTTCATAGTAAAAAAGTCCATATGTTTAAATAGTCTTTTCTTTGTCTCGTAGAATTTTTTGAGGTTTTTCAATAAAATATTTCTTTACTTTAAAATATTTTAGAAAAATGACTTCAATTGTTCACATGTGCCCCTATTGGGGGCACTTGTGAACAGGCCTGGGGCACATATGAACAAGATTAAAAACACAAAGCAATCATCATATTTCAAAGAAAAAAATTCTTTAATATGACAGATATAGATACGCATTATACTGAGGGGGTTGTAGCTTACTATGTGAATTTAAATTGTACAACAGTACTGTCAATAAGAAAATAATTTTTCAGCTGTACAATAATTTATCCGTAATTGGGTTTTTCGCAACTTCATGTTCCACGGGTGTTGTAATGGGCCTTTTTCTTTCTTCTCTAATACTCTTTCATGCTTTTTTTTTCATTTTTTCTATCTTTTCATTTGTAGCTTTAACAATTCTATTTTCTCAGGTGTATCAGTTAATATGCGTGATGCGCGATCAACCATTTAATAAAAAAAAATTTTTTTAAAGGAAAAATTAATAAATTAATTATGGAAAATTAAATAATGATAATTTTAAATGCATACATATTTTTTAAACTTATAATATCATGAGGATAATAATCTTAATACTATGTAGGGGCACTTGTGAACTGTTCACATCTGCCCCAGATGTTTTGTTCACAAGTGCCCCCATCATCCTTCTTAAACCTAACTTGAAAAATAAAGAACTTTTAATTGAGTAAAAAAAAAGAATAATTGTCATAAACTTACCTGAATGTTCATATAATGATCTGCAATAGTTAATTTTAGTTTATTAGTTGATTTATATTATGCTTTCACTTGGAGAAGCGAGCGATTATAATATATGCAACACCAGCTGATACAAAGAAATTGTCAGAATAGATCAACAAAATGTCTCATTGTTCTGAAAGTTTTTCAGAGAGGTAGGACTAGTACTGCCATCAATTGAAAATTTTTCGAGATTTTTTATTTCAAATCATATTGGTAAAACATACCATGTTCACATGTGCCCCCTCTCCCCTACTTATAAAAGTCATTTCTGATGTTCTTATTCTCTTTTTTTTTTCTAGATGTATAATTTCTTCATTGCATAACCTAGTTTAACTAATTTACGTTGTTAAGATGCAATTTGATTAGATATGCAAAATTCTAGTTCAAACTTTCAAGTAATTAAATATGCTTTAGAAATTATTATTATTTGTTTTTTCTCATTTTGCTTAAAATTTATATATATTTTACTAACATATTTTGTCATTGGAACAATTTTAACTTTAAGTGGGTATTATTTCAGGAATTATGTTAGTGAATGCTTTAATAAATGTACAAGTGTCATCGATAAAGACCAAGTGGAAATAATTTTGAAAGGGAAACTGATTCAAGCCTACCGTGATGGAACCATTCTAACGAAAGATTGGAGTGCTGAACCTTTACCTCGGTAAATTCCAGAAAGAAAGAAAGAAATAATAATAATATTTTCTATACTTGCTGAAAATTTTTAAGAAATTATAACTAGCTAAATTTGCTTATTAACTTTTCCTTTGGTCTAAACTTTTTCTTCTAACATGGTGAGATGTTACTGTTTTCATTTAATGATTCAAAAAGTAAAGTCTTTCTTATTAATTATAAAAAAAATTATCAATTTATTTTTCAATTTTTAAAATCTGGAACTGATAATTCAACTAATTTTCTGATGAAAAAATTATCTGAAAATTATAACACATTTAGGCATTACCAAAGATATATTTTGGAAGAAAAAAAACTTTTGCTGAAAAATGATTAATCAATAATTGGTTAAAATAAAATAACTTAAGTTTTAATGTAGTATCATCTTTTCTTGTTTTGTTATTAATAAAAGGTGCCTAATTTAATTCCTTCAGTGACGAGAGGTAAAAGCTTAATGTTACGGTCAGATTCTAAGTTTTCTAGAAAGAGTTGTATATAATAAAAAAAAATTATAATCCCCTTCTAAAAGCTTTCCTCGTATTATAAAATCCGAAAAAAGGGCAACAACTTGCATTTTGCACATTTGCTTTTAATCTGCTTAATTTGCACTTCATTTTTATTAATTTGGGTCTATCAATGATACTAATATAATGAAACAATACTGAAATTGTACAGACGTAATGAATAAAACATAGGAATTGTAAACTTAAAATTATGAATTTTCTTGAAAAGTGTTAAATAAAAAATTTTAACGAATTATACCTTTTTTTTTAAAAAAAAAAATATATATAAATAAATAATAATTCTTACACAATTCCTATAGATAAATGTCTTATCCTAGATAATGTCAGATCCTGTCTTAAATTTGTGCGGTATTAAATAAAGTTTGAGAACTTACACTAGTTTCGGATTCATTTCATTTTTATTCAATAAATCTTCTAATTTTTGTAAAATTTCAGATTTGTTGTGGTAAAATGCCAACCAAAGGAGTAGTTTTAAAAATCAGTACCATTTGAAAAGAAATTGCTAAGTTAAGAATTTCTTGCTTAATTTCCATCTTAATAAAATTCAGTATCTAAATTATTTTTTTATATTTATGTAATAAAACACTTAACTGAATAATTTATTATGGTGCCTGTTTATTAAATGGTTTCAACTACAAATGAGCTTTATAAATGAACCTCCAAACTCTCCATTTTTTGAAACACATTGGATGCCCTGATTTTTACCAGGCATGGAAATATTTTAATATTGATTTTATTGGAGTAGGTGTTTTATGTCTAAAATGTTGTATATTTATATTGTTTATTTATATTTTTTTCCCTGTGTTTTAAGTTTATTCTTCTATTTTCCTGTAGCATTTTCAGAAATAATGATGTGCAACAGAATCGAATAGAAAATGTTAATGCCTTAAAGAATGAGGTTACCTCACCTTCATTTGTTGGCACATCATTGAACAAAGTTAAAAAACCAAGTCCACCAAGAAATACCAACCAAAAGAATAATTTCTATAATAAAAACAGAAGTTATAAAGCTCGCTCCCGTTCACGGTAATTGATCATTTATTAAATAAATTCATACTTTTACTCACTGATATTTATATTTCAAGAGCAACTCTTTACTACTGAAGTATAAAAAAAGAATGCATATTTACCTAAAAATATATTTTTGTATGTCCTTATGACTACAAATGTGAATTTTTTTTTAAAGAGACTGAAAAAAATTAAACACTATTGCTATATGTGCTTATATGGGTAATATAGTCAATTGGAGGTTGCCTTGGACTAAAAGTCCTCTTTCAGTGAAAAATTTAAGAAAATAGAAGGTAATATTTTATCAAATTCAAGCATATACCACACTTATCAGCCCAAAATGAAAATTGTTTAACGTCCTTTCCATGGCCAAAATGAAGATAAGTATACTTTGTGCTAAGTAGCAAAAAACTGTGTTTAAGCTCTCTAATTATTTTTTACTTTATTCATCTTGTTTCTTACTTTATCACTGCCATGGTCTTGGATAGTAGAACTCTAAAAAAAGAATAGGTTACTAAAACATGTGACTTTGGCTTTACATGGTCAGTATCTGGTCCCACTTCAGTTAATTTTTATTACAATTTACAGCACAATCATTAAAAATATATATATAAAGAGCTAATGTTTTAGCTACTTGGTAATATTAGCAACTTAATAACTTATCACCTAAAGTTGATTAGCTAGTCTTAAATTGATAAGTTGAAGTTCCTTCCAATATCTTCAACAACAAGCTTCCTAATTATTACAAATACACAAGTATCTTCCTAATGAAAGTCCCTGTTTTCTTAGTCCAATTTCATTCTAATAATGTAAAAATAATAATAATCAGTAAATAAATATTTAGTTTAATAATAAGAGTTGCTTTAAGTCATTGTTAAATTTGATATTATTCCTAATTAAAATAATCTTTCAATTGATATTTTTCCAGATCACGCTCCAGGTCTCGATCATGGTCACGGAGTCCTCCTAGAAAAGTTATTCATCGGAAAAAATATGATAGGTAACATTTAAATTGTTTTTATTTTAGGGTCGTATAAAGTATAATTCTCAATTTGAATTTTGTGTGGACAAATTCTTATCTTTGTTTATTAATTTAGTTTATTCTAGTCTAGTTATTTACTCTTTTTTTTTCTGAAGTTTCTAAGCTTGACCTTTGATGTACAAGGCAAAATTCTGTTAAATTTTAACACTATATTTTAATTTTTCTGTCTATATTTTAATTTAAGTAAAGTAGGAATATTTAAATTTCGGATGCATGAGATGTTCCAATAAGAGCTGACGATTTTTATTTCTTATGGAATTTTTAATGCTTTTAAATTTTCTCATGGCATTAATTTCTTTCATGGCATAGAAGTATTGGAACTATACATTGAACTGTATATCTACTTGAAGAATCATTGGACATCTATTGTCCAGCTATCATAAGAAATCTTCCAGGCAACTAATGGTTACTGTTGCAATTATAAGTCACTTTAAATAGGGTTGTGGGGTTAGCAGCTTTGCGTTAGTGTGGATTAATAGAGTTGTGATATCCTCCTCTTTTGAAATAATTTAACTATTGTTTTCATTGCAGCAAGTGGCTTCAGGCTTCTATTGGGGATGAGTTTTTTTAATTTTTTTTTTAATCGAACAGATGGTTCAGTAATTCAATGTCTATATTAACAAGTCTGTGACCATATTGTATCACTAAGCTCCTGCCATAATCGTGCCAAAACATTGGAATTAAATGCAAAGCCCAGAATGGCCATTCAGTATTATTTCATACATAATTGCAGCATGCCTATTGTATTAAGTACCTGAAAAGAAATATATTTAAAAGGGACTATGAACTTGTTTGGACAAATAATTTGTTAATCAGCTTTATTTTTATTTCACTAATTTTAGCACTATTTTTTGTTAACAGTTCATCTGATTCCAGTAATGATAGTAGAGATTCAAGGAGAACTTTAAACTCTAGTGTAGTAAGTCACTTTGATGCTCACCCTCTAAGAAAGGCAAACTTGAATTCTAAAGGCAAAAACAAGAGAAAGAAAGGAAATAAAATGTTAGTCTGACATTTCTTTTTATATGTTATAGTTTTAATTTCATTTGCATTTATAGAAGGATCCTATTCTGATTTTATTTTTATATTTATCTTCAGGAATTTTACTGTTGACCCAGAGTTTTCAACAGATGAGCGTTTGTTAAAACGAGCTGCACGCTTCGAAGTAAAAAGTAAATGCCAAAGAGTCAACAGTAATGTTTTATCTCCAGGAAATCTTTTTGTAAGTTTATATTTTGCTTTATTTTATCTTATTTCTATTAGAATATTATTTGCTATGATATTTTTTTCCTGGTTAATTTTATATAAATAATTTTAAAAATTTTTTGGATAAATAATTATTTTCTAGATTATTGATGAGACTGGTGCGGACATAGATTGGAATTCTGACGCTGTTATAGGAACCTGTCAAGACCTGGAGAAGCCTTTTCTAAGATTGACTGGGGTATGTATATTAGGAAGTTCTAATTTAAAGATATTTCTTTTAGTTAGTAAATTGATGTATAATTTTTATGTGGTTACTTTTTAATTATAAATTTTGTTATCTCAAACATCTGTATAATATTCATAAACATACTGCACGGCTTTCCTTTTTTTTCTTTTTTTTTTTTTCCTAATACTTTTGGTCTGGGCTCTGTTCAAGAAATTGTTTAAGTTTTGACCTCTGTTTCTCAATTCTGGTATTTCTCTTTCTAGTTTGGCTAAGTGATCATTTTTTTCTATAGAAAAGTTGAAAATTTAACCATTTAAAATGTAAAAATCAAATAACATAAATGCGCAGCAGGAAGAGCTTTTTTATTACATTAAAGATAGCAATTATTACAAATGGATTATTATGAAAAACTATTGTACCTTTTTTTACCCACCTCTTATGGTTTGTTAGGAGCCTTGGTGTTGGTAACCACTCAACCCATGAATTAAAAAAAAAAAAAATAATAATAATAATTGTGAACTTTTTTATGTCAAATCTATCCTCTGCTTATAAAAAATATTCATGACTGCCTTTTTATAATTTTTAGGCTGTCGATCCCTCTAGTGTACGTCCGGAAGACATTTTAAGGCAGTCATTAACTATGGTAAAAAAACATTGGATTGAAAAACAAGATTATCACTTTGCTTGTGAACAGCTAAAGTCAATCAGGCAAGATTTGGTGGTAAGTTTAATTTTATTTTATTTATTAAACATTAAAATATTTTATTTTTACACTAATATTTGAACTGTAGACTGATACACCGCTACAACAGTGTGTTAACCGGTTTCAAAATCTAGTGTGAAAGCCTTACCAATGGAATTTATCTGGTCATAGTCTTTTAAGAATAATAGTCAGTGCTATTATTCTTAGCTATCATATTCATCAGTATCTTCTTAAAACGAGAGAACACTTTCAAATTCATTTTCTGAAAGTGGGTGCAACACTGTATTGATTAAGTGAAATTTTATTCTTAACCTTCAAATATTTACAGTTAATTAATAAATTTTTTTTTTCTATTGGGGATGAAAAATTTGTGTCTATTATTATTATTATTATTTTTTTTTGTATTACTTTTTAAAACTTGAAATATTTAACTTTTTTAAAGCCATTAAAATTATATTATATTAAAATTATTTCAGTTTGCTATGTTATTTCTTTCAAATTAATGTAAATAAATTGTAAAGAAAATTTCAATAAGATAAGTAACAAATTATAATTTTAAAATTCTGATCAAAACCAATTTAATTAAATTTGATTAACAGTAACAAATTTTATTTCTTAATTTTAGTAAAAATGAAAGTAAATCTTGAAACTTTTTATATTTATGCTTCTCTTCTATATCTTTAAATTTACTGTGATATAGTTTGCTTTGAAACATTTATAACTGCATTTGTTTAGATTTATTTAAATTTAAAAACTTTATTTTAGTAAGTCATATCAATTTAAATAAAATTTATCTCACATTTTTACAATTTTATTAATGCCAGTATGGATAATTTAAACTTTTTACTGTTTTAACTAATATTATTTATTAATTTTAGCTTCAAAATTGTATTTTCTAGCTTTTGTGTACTGCTAGCAGAAATAGTTGTGCATCCCTGTTTTTTAGTTTAATTAATTAAGTTAATTAAGTTTTAGTTAAGTTAATTTATGGAGAAATAATTTTTTCGTCTTAAAATATCATTTATACCAATTTTTCAAACTTTTATTCCTAATTGTTTTGGCTTAATTTATTTGATTTATTCTTGGAAATATTTCTTAACTTTTATAAAATTAAAGCCAAATACTTAATTTTTATAAAATAATGCCTTGGTGATAAATTTTACTAATGCCAGTCCGAATATTTTAAAATGTTCAAATTCTTTTTTTATCATCTACATTATGCAAAAGTTTTAACAGCTACAGTTTAAATTGTGAATAATAATTTATTTAGAAAACATGTCTTTAAAGATACTGCTGTTTTAGTGTTTGATATAATTGAATTAGAATTATTGTAATGAGTTAGGTATAGAAACAATTATGGTAATTTTCTAAACCTTAAAAATTTATGAAAATTGATTTAAAAAATTTTTAAAACAATAAATTAGGCTGCAAAATGTTTCATAATCATAGTACTTCATAATGAAAAGAGTTTGTCCTAAATCCCTACTTGCTCATAAGGAAATTTTACCCAATTGTACAATGCTGCAAATGGTCTATAAAGAAAAATTAAAATGCATGGATCTAATAGAGCAAATCATTATTCAGGTAAGGTCTTTGAGAGGTAATGAATGTATATGGCCTTTGCTACTAATTTCTTATTGGCTGATAATTCCTTACATAAATCGAAAGCTTTTTTTAAAAATTAAAAAAAGAAAGAGGGAGGAATCATGATAATGATTAAATAATTCTCCATATATAAAATTAAAAGACAGTTTTGACACATTTAAAATTTGTGACTGTATTTTTTTAATCTGATTTTAAAAAGCAGCCTACTTTTTAATCCATTGATTAAATTAGTGATAGTTACCTTTGTATTTTTATTTATTTTTCGCAATGCCTTTAGAGCCAAATGATCATAATTACAAAAAAATTTATCTATGACGTATCTAACTCCCATATTAATTGGTTTTAGGTTCAGTGTATTCGAAATAAATTCACTGTCCAAGTATATGAAACTCATGCAAGAATAGCTCTAGAAAAGGTATTTTTTGATTTATTTACTTATTTAACTTCATTATATTATGATTTTTTTTTTTTAAATTTAAATGTTTATTTTTACAGGGTGATCATACAGAGTTCAATCAATGTCAGTCTCAACTTAGAGCGTTGTATCAAGAAATTAATGAGGGTAATAGATTAGAATTTACAGGATACCGTATTCTATATACAATTTACACAGAAAATGCTATAGGTATAGAAATCTTTTCTCTTTATTCTTTCCATTAAAAAAAAATTAAATTTAGATATTGCTGCAAAGGTCTTGATTAAAGTTTTTCTTTTATAACAGATACCAATTAGCATGTTTACATTTTTTATTTATGTGTGATTTTCCAAAAACTTTGCTATTTCAAATCACAGATTCTTAAAAACTGAAAGTTGATTCATTCTTTTTATTGGGCACTTGAGAGGAAAATAAAGGGAACTCATTTGAACGAGTAATTCTTCCAGCTCAGAAAATGCCAAGACATGTTTTTTAATATAAGTCTTGCCATTAATTTCTAAAGGCAGATTTTAGTTTAAAAAAGTTTGTTAGAATCATCACATTATTACACAATGTATTATTTTTGTTAAAAGAAAAAAAATTAATGTATAAAAAACTGTTGTTTAGAAGTGACAACAGAAACTGTTAAATACCACAGTTTAGAACTTAAAAGCTATAATAAGAACTTCAGATGAATCAGATTTTTAAAACACTCTTGTAGAATGAGAATAAACAGTGTTGCAGGAGAATGAAAAAATGTTGTATGAGACAAAATTTAATAAGGAAACAAAAGCTACTTTAATGGGGATAGTCCTAAACAATACCTTTTTTTTTATAATAAATCCTGTTTAATAGTACAAAATAAAATATGTGGAAAGCCCCTTATGATTTTGAGTTTTTTTTTTTTACAAAAAAAAAGTACGAAAACTATTTGGTGAAACTTTTTGAATTTTAAGATTTTCAAATCAGATCTTTTCATTAGTTGCCAAATACAATTCTCTACAAAATTAAGAAAAAATATTTTTTTTATTTTTCCAGTGCAGACACAGTATAATTGCTTGTATCTTGCACAGTTTTAAATGAATTTTGTAATTTTAAATTGATCCAAAAAAATTTTGATTTTTTTTAAAAATAAAAATGACTATATCTAGGTTTACGAAATTTTGTGCAATTGTTGCATATAATAACCAAAATAACAGTCACAAGTTAAGTTTATTGCTACATTTTTTTTTTGTCATAGGTTGTTCAAAAACACTTTTTTCTGTCTGTAATTTATTGTCAATCTCCTTAAGTTTTAAACATAATTGATATATATGAGAAATCGCATACCCTAAAACTCCTAAGTTAATAAAATGATTCTCTGAGTATTTTTGAGAAAGTTGAAAAAATGTGTTAGTATAGAAGTGTTTCCATTATTTTGTCCAACCACCTGTATATTTGTGTGTGTGTGTACATATATTAAGGTGTGATTTCTTATTAATAATTATGTAAAATATGTTAATTTTGTCTGCTGAAATTTTCTATGTTCAGTCAACTAATTTATAGATATCTTTCATTTTCTTTCAGAATTGAAAAATATTCTTTCAGAATTGACAGATGAAGACAAACAAGACATTGTAGTATCTCATGCTTTAAAAATAGCTAAAGCATACTCAAACTCTAATTATTCTAGGTTTTTTAGACTTTATTTATCTGCTCCTATAATGTCTTCGTTTATTGTGGACTGGTTTGTTGAACGCATTAGAAAAGCTGCGTTAAAGACCATTATAAAGTCGTACGTATTTATTTATTTTTTGTGTTTAAATTTTGTTGTAATATTGCAATGGGTAAGTATGAATGTCTGCAGAATTGAAATTAAATTATTGCTTTCTATGCTCTGATTTAATTTTTAAAAACTGCAGTTATACCTAAAAACTTATGAATCAAAATATAGTGTTTATGCAAGTCAAATATATTTGTTTCAAAAAATTATGCTTTGAACTAAAAATAAGTAATCTTGCTACAAAATATTGGTGAGAAAATATAGCTTAATATTCACAATTTTTATGATTCATCAGTACAAAATTTAGGGTTTAATAAAAATGAATAAGTTAAAAGGTATTCTGTGTAAGATACTAAAAAATACTGTAATACTGTGAAGGTTGTGATAAATTAAGTAAGATGAATAATTCTAAAGTTCTTAAGTGAAGATAAGATTTATTATTTTCTTTAAATGGTTTTCATAGAATATAAATAAAGTAATTTACTCTAAATTAGAGCATTAAATGTTATCTACTACAGAAATGAACAATATGTTTGAAAGGTAATTTATAGAATTTAATTCCGAACTTGCGTAAATCTGTGTTCGGAGATGTTTTGTTGGACTGTGTAATGATCAATTGATCATTCATCTTGTCAGTAGAAATTTTTTTTTTTCCCCTTTTAAAATTATTTTGCAACTGTATACAGTCACAAATAGTTCAAGACTGGCTTAAAGAGCTTTTGGAATTTTAAAGACAAATCTCTAGATTTATTTTAATACGCTTTCTTTCTAATATATTTTAATACATTTTTTGTAAATATTTAATTTTTTCTAGTATAGTTTGCAACTTGCCAAGAATATATTTTGTATATTAAAACATTTTTTCCCCACTTTTTGAAACATGCTACATATCTTGTTCTTCCTTAAAATATCGAATTCCCTCAAAAGTGATAAGTTCTGTTTCTTATCACTCCTTTTAACTTGAAGCGTCTTTTTGTTATTTTTGCAGTGTTAGTTAAGAAATTCTTTAAATTAAAATTTTTACAATCTAATTTTACTAAAATATGTGTTAAATTTGTTTTATTAGAACTTGCATTCCATTTTAGAAACTAAAAAAATATATATATATTTTAAGAAAAATCCATGAAAAAAAACATGTTATTAAGTTTTTAGATTATTTGCACATTCAACCTTTTCGTTTGTGGCATTTTAGCAACATCATCTCACGAGGGTTCCCACAACCTGGAAAAAATTAGAATGGTAGCTAAGATTTTTCAAGACTATTGAAAAAGGCTTAAATTTATCTTTTATTTGAGAATTGCAAAATAATTCCCACATTATTTTTTGCACCCATATATATTTCCTTTAAATGAAATATTTATTGATAGCTTAAAACGTCTAAATGTGTCTCACTTTTGCTACCACTTTAAAAAAATTGCAGGTCGTGGGAACCCTGCTTCACATGATTTAATTCTCCTAAATGATGCTACTAAGAATTGATATATCTGCTGATGAGCAGTGAAGGGAACACATGAGTCAAAGCTTATGCTGACTGCTACAGGCGACATCTGAAGCGTGCATAAAAGAGGGGTGAAATCTCGTGCCACAAACTATCTTTAAAAAAACATTAACAAATAGAAATAATCAAATTTACTATGAAATCCTAAATAATAAGTCAGAACCCACCCTAAACTGCCAGATCTTTAAAAGTACTGAACTAACATCATGTATAGAACTTAATCATCAAAGCATCAAATTTAACGGTGTGAACATTTCAAACGCTAATGACCTTTTTTATGTTTGAATTATGTTAATGGTTTTGTAAGCTGCAATTTTGTATTTAAGATTCAAAAACTATTTGATATTTTGAACAAAATTGTATGCTTACAAAATCATTGAGTAATACTAATAATCTTTATTTTAGTTTACAGGTGCATTAATTTGGTAAAGTATTATTTCGCCTTTATTAGATTTATTTTTTAGTTAAATGCTTCATTATTATCTTGTATGTTCCTTTATCTGAAACTAAGCAGAGGATATTTCTGCTAGTTTCAATTTTATTTTATTAACTTTTATGTCCTGTTTTTCATAGATTTCGTCCAAACTTACCGGTAGCGTATATTCAAACTGCCTTAGCATTTCCTGATTCTGAGGAGTGTTTGGCATTTTTAACAAAGGCTAACCTAGTTTTTGTGGATGCTGATGTAATCAACTGCAAAGATTCAATGGGTGCATTGGCAAACTTCTAACGCTGCTGCAACTTACTAATCCCTGCCTTGTATAGAAAGTGTGAGACTGAATCTTGACAGGTTTAAATCTCTCATTAAACTTAATTATTTTCCTTGCTAACATCACATAGAAAACATCATTTATTTTTATGGTGAAAATCATAGACTTTGTTATGATCTTCGATATTATCCCTATCTTTCTTGTGACTTTTGATGTTATCTAGTTGGGATGCATAACGCACATGGACTTGTTAATTGATACAAATTATCGTCAAATTCCTTATTTTAAATTGGAATATTGGTTATATAAAGGAAAATAATAAGTTAAGATCAGTGTTAGTCTGAAGATTTATAACCGGTAAGATTTCACAGTAGCTGTGCAGCTAAAAATATCGTATCATTTTGGCTAGTAAAGAATATTAAAAAGCTGTTTCATCGGGTCTAGGAATGTAGAAAGCAAAGAAATACGAAATTGTTACAATGAAAATAGACTGTTCATTGAACCGTGTTAAGCAATAGATTAAGAAGAAAACAGTGAAAAGAAAAATTACTCGTTTCTCAAGGAAAATAGAAATTATAAGTATATTAATTGTAGCTGTGCAGCTAAAAATATTCTATCATTTAAGCTAGTTAAGAAGATCAAAAAGCTGCTTTATTGGCTTTAGAAATGTAGAAAGCAAAGAAATACGAAATTGTAACAATAAAAATAGACTATTCATTGAACCTGTTAAACAATAGATTAAGAAGAAAATAGTGAAAAGAAGAAAAATTATTAGCTTTCCAAAGAAAAGGAAATTATAAGTAATCCCTACACTACAGTAAGCGTAAGGTTAAAAGTTAAATATATCATTTAGGAAGCAAAGAAAAATAAAGTTAAGCAATAAAAGAATGTGTTATCCCATAAGAAGAAAAGTAATAAAAGAAATTGCAGCAAAGGAAATGAATCCTGCTTCTTCTGCAATGAACTGTGTTAATCTGCTTAATTTCAAAGCTGCTTAGTTACTCAAAGATGCCTTGACTTTCTTTTGTATATTACTGATTTTATCTCATTTCTATTGAATGAACTGTCTAGAGTGCCCTAAAAACCTTGGAAGTTTTGTCTTGGAAAGAAATTTTACTCGTAGAATAATGGAAATATTTTTGGAAGCCAACTGCCGAAGAAAATAATTATTGCAAAAATATTACAATAATTAAAAAATAATTCCTTTCTCGCTTATAATGATTATTATAAACTTTTCTTCAATGAGGTTTTAAACCTGTTGTGTTTTCAGTCTTAAGACTTAATACACTTTTCTATTAGCATGGCAGGGATTTCTGGATTATCCACCAATAAAAGTTCCTTTTTCACCTCCCTTTTTTTTTAGGCATTTATGCCACTTTTTTTTTATGCTACCCCTTTTACAGTTTACCTTTCTAGATAAGCTTGAATCTACATTCTTGCTGTGGAGCTCTAAAGAGATCTACTACACAGTTCATTTCCTCAACTTCCAGCCCATTATAGTTCAATATCTCCTGACTTGTGGCTCTCGTCAAAATTACAAGTTTCTGGCCTTAATTCTCTAAATGGTGTTTTCATTCTTGATGGTATCCTGATCACTTCCATAGCTCTTGATAGTATCCTGGTCACTCTCATAGCTCCTGATGGTATTCTGGTCACACCCATAGCTCTTGGTGGTATCCTGGTTGCTCGCACATATCTTGGTGGTATCCTGGTTGCTCCAACATATCTTGATGGTATCCTGGTTGCTCCCACATATCTTGATGGTATCCTGGTCACTCCTTAAAGTTATAGATGAAGATGCCAAGTTTAGTTTTTCAAATTGTTGAATTCTTCTAATTCTACAACAATGTCTATTATCAGCTTGTTTTTTATCTTTTTTTATCCTCTAAATTATCTTTGTTCATCAATATTTAAAAAATTTTCATTTTCCCTATTTTGTTGCAAAATTTTAATTTATAGTTATCTTATTATTAACTTTTAAAAGATACAATTGCCTGGTTTGTTAATGATGTTTTTAGGAATAAAGCATGCAAAAAGAGCATTCTCAAAGAAAATAAAATGATCCTCAATAGGAAATTCTAGTAATTATGTCCTAACTTTATGCAAAATCTGTCATTGAGCTGGTCACAAGCTCTGCAAAAGTAGACCTTCTCTTTATTTATTATCATTATCTTTACATACTTATTAATTTGAAATGTTACTTTTCAATTGCAGTATTGCATAAAGTAGTATGTGTCTGTACATAAAATTTCTTATCAAAAATTTTACATCCTTTAAAAGTATTTATTAGGAAGATTTTTTTTTCCACTTTAAATTATCCCTGTCGCATATTTTAAATAAATGCATACTCTTATCTGTGTCATTGTTAGGCTTATTCATAATTCACCTTTTTTATTTATTGTATATATTTTGTTTAAGTGCTGTTGAATAGCTCTTTTTCTTTTACAGATTCTATATTTTATTGAAAATATTTTTGTTTCACTAATATTTTTTTTTTAAAAATCTTTAAATGTAAGTATGTAATTAAATTACTTGCCACTTATATGCCATTGTAAAAAGTGTACAAATAAAATTGTATTTTATATATTTCAACTGTATTTTATATAATTTATCACACCGTGTCAGTTTTTAAATTTTATCATCTTTAAATAATATTACAAAATTGTGAACTCCGCTCAAAAAAATAAACAGACCGCCCTGAATAACTTATGTTCTAATGGCCGGATCTTCATGTTCTAGGACTCAATCTTAATGGTTTGAGAGGGTGACCTCAAATATACAAATTAATTAATGCAGACGATATTTTAAGTTGCAAACTCAGACACAAAAAAGGTACTTTCTCTGAATAAACAAACCTTTTTTTCCCGACGGATTCAATACTGATTTGATGTGTTTAAACTTAAAATAGATCATTGAAGATACCTTTTTCGTATCACAACAAATTTAAAATAACAAAAATAAATACATTAATTAAAAATAACGAACATAGCATCTCTATACTACCGCAACCTATGCACTCTTCTACCAATCAAAAAAAGTAAGCGTTCTTGCTTGTTTTTCCCTTTCGGAGGGAGGTATAATCGTTCTGCCTGTCACAAGTTTTATTTATTTCTTTTTATAGTTCCAAATCTCACTTCTCTGTCCTTTGGGGAAACATCTGGGTTAAAAAGAAGACAATGTGTCTTAACTGAAAATGCTATAAAGAGAAAAATATAGATAGGGTAAAGCAACCAGTGAGGGATCATTTTATAAATATTTTTTATAATTAAAATTTTAAACGTTTTTACTTTGATTGGTAACAGTAGCTTACTACCTAACTATAGGAAGTCATCGAACACTGCATTGGGTTGCCTGGTCATATGGTCTTCCCTGGAAAAATTTTTGAATTAGTATCTGTTCAGCACCGTGTTTCTATGAGAAAATTATAATGTCGGTGTTTGTATTTATCCGTTTAAAGTACAATTAATTGCATATAATAGTTCTATTTTTCTCACTGTAAAAAAAAAAAAGAATTCAAGATATGGTTATTGAAGTTACGTTTTATTTATTTTAAACATCTTAGCATAAGCAAATACTGAGATTAGGGGGTGTTTATTAACTGGATTACCAAACAATGAAAAACCCTTGAATGAACGATTGTTCCTTTACTGGGATTTTCATTTCAAAATGCTAATTTAATTGCTAAATTTATGGAAAGAATTTAATCATTATTTATCTTTATAAATGTAATGGTTAGTTCCATCATACGTTAGACAGCTTAATAAACTATGTTTACTAATCGAAAACTAAATAAATATAATAATAAAATCTTGAATAGAACATTTCTTTACTGGCTTTTGTGCCAATAATTAGCTAAATTATTATCCTAATGCGGTCTTAAACATCATGACGGAAACGAGTAGGAAACATCCATTTAAAGACAGCCATCCAGGTGAAAAATGGGTGAAGCTTTTTTTAAGTCGATATCCACTAATAACTCAGTGCAATGCGAAGAGAATTTCAAAAGGCAAAACTTTCCTTTCAGAGAATAATATTCGAGAGTGGTTTAAATAATTTTAGAGGAATATTAAGGAGGGACGTAACCTTGCCATCTTTTTAGAATGTGAACGCATCTACAATGCGAACGATACAGGAGTTGAATACTGCTCTTAAACGGGAAAAATTATAAGGTTTTATAGTTCCTAGGAATGAAAAAGAAAGAACAACATTTCAGCTAGTGGGGAAAAAAAGTACCTCCATTGGTAGTTTTTCTTTACTGAAGAATTCCTCGAGGTATTACAGAATCAGTTCCTGCTATATATTTCATCCGAAAAAGTGAATCGTTGATCACAGCAGAATTTTACGACTGACTCTATTGCAAATGCTTCTTTCTACCCATGGCTCATTGAAAATTCTATCAAATTCCTAATTTTGCTTCTTCTGGATGGGCATAAATCTCATATCAATTTGAAACTGAGCAAGTTTTGTTTATCGAAACAACTTATCTGGTTTAGCTTTCTACCTTATTCTACTAGTGCAGGGATGGCGAACCAATGGCACGCCACCGATCACATTTGTTATTACACTATGAATTGTTATTACTCAAATGCTATTACACTGTGAAGCATTTGTAACAAATTAAAATTCACAAAAAACACGCAAAATAATAAACAATTATTAATGAAAAAAATTAACAATTAATGCTAAAAAAGCAATTAATAACTAACAAAAAAAATAAACAGTCCTGCCTAAACTAACATCTTACAACCTAATATAAGTTATTTGTCATCTAATCTGCAACAACAAAAATCACACTGATGTTACTTTAAGTTGAATTACGCGTATAACTGAGACATTGCAACAAAAAAAAAATTTCTGTGTAATCAAAGAGTTTTGAGTTGATAGTATTTAGTATTATTATTTTCCCAATAATCACGAAAGCAAAATTATTTGACGGCACGTCTATGACCCAGGGCTGATTGTGCTCCGGAAAAAATCCGGATTTTTCGATAACAGTGATCCGGAAGTTTCCGGAGATCGAAGGTCCAGACGTTTCAAAAAATCATTGATCACAGAAGTTTCCGGAAATCAAATTTTCAAAAGTNAACTGAGACATTGCAATATATTTTTTTTTCGATGTAATTAAAGAGTTTTGAGTTGATAGTATTTAGTATTATTATTTTCCCAATAATCACGAAAGCAAAATTATTTGACGGCACGTCTATGACCTCATTAAACAATTTTTTGGAAAAAATGGCACGTTGGCGTATAAAGGTTCACCACCCCTGTACTAGTGTATTCCAGCCTTGTGATGTAGGCGTATTACGAGCTTTGAAAGCTTAGAAACTTCCGTTAGATCTTAAAAACAAAAGAGTCGTAAAACAATATATAGTGGTAATTTTACATCCATTTTAATAGGCTTTTGCGGCAGCAACTGATGAAGTTAAAATGCTTTTATAAAGTGTGATATTTTTCCATTTGATGTTGAAAACGTTGACTTAAACAAATGCATGCAAGACAGACGCAATAAGTCGATGAGCAAGAAAGCTTATCAACATAACACATACTTCGATAAACGAGAACTTTTAGTAACGATGCACTATTTTTTCAGAAGCTTGAGAGTGAAATCTCACAAAATATGTTGCAAATTTTTAAAGGAACATCAACAGAAGAGTCTAATCTCCCAAATTTCCAATAGCCTGTGCTAAACTTCGAAACACCTTTTTCCCATCAATTATCCAGTAAGAAATGGTACTGGAAAATCAGAAGAAATTTCGAAGATACATTTACATTGGCCAAATATGGGGAAAAAAGAGGAAGATCAAATCAAAAGAAATAAATTACCTTTTGCATTAACTTCAGAACAAGGACGAAATTTGAAAGAACTGAAAAAAAGTTAAAACAAAGTATGATGAAGAGGGGAAAAAAATACTTAGAAAGATTAAAAAAAAAAGCTTCAAAAAATATGGGGGGGGGGGAATTAAACAAAAACGCAATAAAATAATAATAAATCGTCATCGGATTTCACAATGATAAACGTTAATGATTTAGAATCGACTATTAAACTGTGAGAAAGAAAATTAAAAACATTTTTTTTAATTCTGTATTCAATCCCATTTTACTTTCCATTTCATGACTGAAAAAAAAAGTAAAATTTTCCACGTTAACTATGGTTATATGTTATAATTTCAAGAAAAATCTTGTTTTTAGACATTTGTATGGTCTATGAATTCCTAAAGAGCATCAAAAATTCTCAAAATTAAGTGTCCATTCACTGGAAAATTTAGTGTTCTCACTGGTAAGAACTGTTCCTTCACTTGGTTATCTTACTACTTATTATTTGAACCACCAAAAGTTTAAAACAATATGTAAGTTCTCTAATTTTTTTTTACATAATTTGCATCTAATAACAAATATGTTGGCACTGTTTATTAGCTAAAATTACTAATTTTTTTTTAAAGGCAAGCTAAGCTTAAGTGTTCCTTCACTGGTTAGTTTTCCCTATACATTGAAAAACTCACTTATAACTATTTACATATAAAAAGTAAGAGCCCAATGAAATATGACTGAAAGCCCTAAACAAAATTGTAAATTTTCAACACAAATTATAATATTTAAAGATAACATTTAAACAAAGAACTATATGCATTATACTTAATAAGAGAACGTAATTTTGAAAAAACGTGATGTGGTCTCTTCATATGGGGCCCCCTTGATCGCCGGGTTAATTTTGCATATAGGGAACTATAGAAAATGTTTATAATTGATATATAAGCAAATGAATGTGCAGACATACTGCAGAAACCATAATGCGGGGGGGGGGGATTTACATTTTTTTCCTAGCAATATTGCAAGTATCTCTCAGTTTTAAAGATTAAAAAAAATTGGGAAATTTTAATATATTTTTTGAATTTTTAAAAAATTTTGAGCTGTATTACTAAATTTTGAAAATTGATTTTTCACGAAAGTTTGCATGTCATGCAACTGAAAAGGTGCTATACGCTTAATTTTATTTAAAAGAATAATTTTTACGAGGATACTTTGACCCCGTAATCATTGAAAAGTTAGTTTTTTTAGATTTGGATGAGTTCTAGAATTTTATTTGGGAGGATTTTTTCTCATATTTTAATATACAGTGTATTTCATAAATACCACCTATAATAAAAATATTACTCCTTATTCCTTATATAAGGTGAAGATTAAGAAGTTTACATATTATAGGTTGCAACTTTAACAAATGAAAACGAAAATTGTCGATATCTGACAAATCACAGTTGATGTGCTCAAAAATCTAATTTTACAAGCATTATGCTTCTCTGAATACTTTGACTATTTGCTCCAAAACCCCAAAAAATAGCATTTTTTCATTTAATAATGCATTTTTTTCAAACTCTTGTTATCTTATCTCAAAAGTCTAATTTTACAATCACTATGCTTCTCTGAATACTTAGACTATTGCTCCAATCTGCTCCTAAAACTAAAAAATTACATCTTTTTCATTTAATAGTGCATTTTTTCCAAGCTCTATTAAAAATGATATAAATAGTTATCATATGTAATTAAATATGCTCAAAAATCTAATTTTACAAGCACTATGCTTCTCTGAA